TGTTATTTGATGGGTATTAGTCATTTTTCATAACAGTAATATTGTACGTATATAATGCCGCTTTCTATATACTAAATATAATGTTAACTATAAAATTTACTGTAACTATATTTATATTCTAAATGATGTAATGGAAGGTGACGTCAGACGTATCTCCGAAGTCATTTTTCAACTTAACGACTCTGTATATAACAATACAGGGAGAAAAAAAACAGCCCTTGTTGAGTTTCTTGTCGGTTCTTCTCAGTAAAAGGTCTCCCGCCGTAGTTTTGCGAACCGATGGCTTAGCTTCTTGACTTTGCCTTCACAAGTGCTTGTAACAGCCTATCATAAAATCCATTAAGTAGTTTTTTCTGTGTTTGAGTTACAAACATACAAATTTTGACATTTATAATATTAAAGTAGGACTAGCGGCCGCGGCTTGGTCCGCGTTAACCTTTATTTTCTTGCGAATCCCTCATTACCCACACATTTTTGGGGATTAAATGTCGCATTTTCCTCAAACCAGTTAACAAAATAAATGAGTTCCTAGTCCTTCCTAATCCGTTCAGCTGTTTTTGCGTGATTGAGTTACAAACATATAAACAGACAAGCATACAACATATTCCCATTTATAACAAATTAATTAAATGAGGAATTAGTAGGATAAGCACATCGAAATAGGGACGGTCTGTGATCATGGATGTTAAACGACTTTTGCAATGGCCGGTTATAGGAAGGACACCAAAAATGTATTATCTAAAGCTCCTCCTTGTTCATTCTACCGCATCGATAGAAAAAGCTGAACAATTTGTTGCTAACTTCTAAATTCCACCTGCTATATTTTACCAGAACTACGTCTTGTACGATTATGTATTGTGTGCCAAAACCCTTTATTGTATACTAGCAGCCGCCCGCGACTTCGTACGCGTGGACTTAGTTATTTGCACATACTGTTTGACTCCAAAAAGAGATTTATTTCTAAAGATACATGATGAGTACACCTCTACACCATCTATAGAGCATACATGTTAAATTTCAAGTCTCTTACTTCAAAAAATTAGGACTTTCATACAAACTTCCAACCCCCATATTACCCCCTTAGGGATGGAGTTTCGTGATAATATGTTGACCCGACTTCTTAATAATATTCGTGCCAAATTTGAAGTAAATCCATACAACACTTTTTGAGTTTATCCCGGACATACATACAAATAAACAGACAAAAATTCTAAAAACTATATGTTTGGCTCCGATATCGATTGTAGATCACACCCCAAGTATTCTTTAAAAAAAATATTCAATGTACAGTTTTGACTTTCCTACCAATTTATTATATGTATAGATTTAAGTCTTTAAACTTATTTAAACATTAAACAAAATCTTCGTTTTTAGGAAACATGTTGAATTGTTGAAACACTTAGAACTGGGAACGTTTAGATCAAACAAAGGGCTACCGCAGGGTGACACCTTGGGGTAGGTATTACACTATAAATAATCTTGTTTGCGTAACCTAAGCAACAAGTTGGATCGATGTCGTTTCACAACTCAAGATCTCAACGTATTCATAACATTAAAGGTGTTGTGACTAAGAAATCTGTGTGAAAAATGGTGGGATTAACAAAATCGAAATTCCAACAATGTCCAGTTTATTTCGGACATCCATTCCAATTTTGGAGAGTGAGTATTTAATTGTAAAAATACATGGCATTTTAAATTTCAATAGAGCTATTTAAAGTCTGTTAGAAATTAATGAAAAGAACAAATTTAGTTGTAATGAAATGGAATGTATACAATACAGAGATAACTTTAGTAAGTCTGGCAATATGAAACTAACTTCATAATTGATTTAGACACTGCTTTGAGTAAGGGAATACTTGTAAATACATGTCTGGGATATGTACGGTCGAAATTTAACTGTATCTTATAGTACACAGCGTAAAATGTTAATTGTGATATGAATGTTCTTTTAACATGAAACTTAACATTGATTATGTTTTGTTTCTACGAATTCCAATGTTTTCGAAGTCTAGACCAATAAATATAGAAACTTTACTCAAGCGTCTGAAAATTATTGAGTACTTACCTAATAATATAAAGTTATGTCTCTTTGGAAAATAAACAGTAACTTCTAAGCCAAATCTATTTAATGGACCAACTTTGCTCCATTATTATCATTGTAAGCTAAAACTTTAAATCAAAATTTTTATGTATATGTTTTATATGCAAATAAAAAAAACTGAGCTGAGATTAGATGTAATGACTCACGATTGTTGATGTTGTTAAGATACGAGAATATGAAGGAATTACCGTACCATCAGCCTATTAATGTCCACACTGGGGCACAGACCTTCTCTATGAATGGAATAGGGAGATTGAGCCATGAGCCACCCCGCGGGCCCAGTGTGGATTGGCGGGTGCTAACGAATACAGATGCAGCCGGGACCAACGGCTTAACGTGCCTTCCGAAGCACGGAGGAACTCGAGATAGAAGAGTCCTGAACAAGGTGCGGCGTTTTTTCACGCCCGATCAACTGTGCTTGTTGTACAAAACACAAGTGCGGTCCTGCGTGGAATATTGCTCGCACCTCTGGGATGGCTCCGCAAAGTACTTACTCGATGCCTTGGATAGGTTGCAGCGGCGCGCTGCCCGCATCATTGGCGATGAAGAGGCAACTAAGAAACTCGAGTCTCTACAATTACGCCGTGATGTGGCATCATTAAGCGCATTCTACCGAATATACCACGGCGAGTGTTCTGAGGAGCTATTCTTGCTTATCCCTCCATCACCTTTTCTTCAGAGGACCACGTGCGCTGGCCTACGTTGCCATCGACTTACTGTGGCCACTATTCCTACACGAACAAAGAAATTTGGCGACTCATTTCTTTGTCGTACTATTCGTAAGTGGAATTCTTTACCCGCGCACGTGTTCCCTCCTTCCTATAATCTGGGGTCCTTTAAGAGAGGCGTGAAGAAGCATTTTTGCGGGCCGGCAAGGTGAGGATGGTTGGTGTAGCAGTTAATAACTGCTGTACCAGCTATCTTCGCGTTTGGACTTTATCACCACTTAACATCAGGTGGGGTAGAGTCATTTGCTTCCTAGTAATATAAAAAAAAAAAAAAAAAAAAGAAGATTTTGGGTCATCCATCCAATGCGACCACTGCGAAAGTTACGACGCGCTAACCACCCGCGCCATCGAGCCCCTCGCCATCTATCCATACATTTGAATTATTGTTGTTTATAGTATGGGGTTATATGTTTATTATTTCTGATGCTTCTCGGAAACTTGCACGACGAAGCTTCAGGTGGCTTTGGTAATAAATAATGCACTAAAATTAGCGTTCAAAAGAATTACTTCTATCGTATTATACAAGCAGGCTGCGTGTCTATAGACGCTACACGTTAGCTTGATTGGCGATAATTTGACACGCTAAACAGGGCCGGATTTAGGATTGTGGAGGCCCCGGGCCACTTAGGATTTGCATGCTTGTTGACCCATCGAAATTTTGTTATTTTTAAACTGTTGTGGAGACCCCTGGGCCACAGCCTCACCTGCCCTGCCTTTAATTCGGCCCTGAGATTAATATAATCAAATAATCATGTATGTTAAATGTACAAAGTACTGCAGGTAAAGGTAAAAGAGCAAAAAAAAATATCAAAGGAAAAGATGTTTACTAGTGTTTACTAGTTGGAATTTGAAAGATTTTTTTCCGAAGTCTCTATTGTCCCCACAATTGTGCCCCCCGTTTGTGGAGGCCCCGGGGCTTTCTCCCCGGTTGCCCTCCCCTAAATCCGGCAGTGACGCTAAAAGCGGTTATATAAAACAGTAATTTGTATCTGCAGCTGAAAGAGCGTAGGTAGATACTTAATTAAAAGTTCGAACGCAAATTTTAGCGCATTTTAGTAATAAAAACCAACCGAAGCTTCGTCAGCCAGGTGTGGGATAAGTATAACTCTATGTACATAAGTATTTTGTACTTTAAAATGTTCAATAAAGAATTATCTATCGATCTATAAGTATGTCTATGTGTTTGGTATCGAATCTTTGAATCTTTTCCAACGTTATGTTAAACATATGTACGCTTCAATTCCAGGAAAGAAAGCGACTAGAAATGGAACCAACAATTGACATAGAGGAAATGAAAAAGTGTGTGGATGTGGTTGAATACGACAACACACATTTGCAAAAGTAAGGCCTTTATCTTTTTTTTTCAATAAAAAATATCGGTCCTTGATAAATCATATGATTCTTTTAAGTCTAGAAGTAAACAATAACTTTACTATTGTAAAAATTATGCATTTTTTAGAAGCACAAACCGATGCTTATAATGTATTTTTTCTATGTAAAAAGGGAGGCAAACATGCGTATGGCAAACCTTATGGTAAGCGGTCACCATAGCACCATAGGCTATTGACGCTTGCGATACCAACCATAGCACTCACACCGTTGCCTACCCTGACCCAAACCCCTGTGGAGCCCTGAAACCTTACTCATTGACAGAAACACAACACCACCAAAAGGTAGAGTTTTTTAACTGTGATCTTATTAGAAGCACAGATCGATGCTTAATAAATGTATTATAACGTTTTGTACATAACTAAATAATTTACAGTGTTTAACTACCGTGGTGTGAGTGGTATGTACGCCGATTTTTAAAGCGGCACCAACTAAGATGTTCTGTTTTTGAAACCCGATGGGGGAAAAGTTAGTATGATGAATACGAGCATTTGTAGAAAAATACTCTTATATGCATCATTATATTATGTATTACTTTCCGTTACCCAAGTATCCCACAACGCAAGCAGTGCTTACTTTGGGGCTAGACTAATTGGTGTGTTATCTATTTATTAACAACCTTGACCCAGAATTTTGAACAACGCTGAACAAAAAAAACCTTATGTTCTAGATTAATCGTAAACAGAACAGAAGAGAAAGTGAGAGCAAAGCTGGAGGAAGAAGAAATGAGACTATGACAGAGACGAACGAAATTAAAGTGTCTCCTTGAAACTGAGGAGGAAATGTATATTCAAGAAATTCTAACAAAAGAAGCTTTGAAAGAGTGCAGCTATTGTAAAGAGAAAGAAGAGCGAATAAAAAAATATTATGAAGAAACGGAGAAAGAGAAGGTTGAGCAATGTCTAAGAGCGTTAGAAAGGGAAAAAATGTAAGATTTTGTTATTATAAATGTGTGTATAGAGTTCAGAAAACCTGTGCTTTTCCTGGCTTCAGCTCCTTTAAGAATCTTGTCGCACTCCCCTAACCCGATGAAGCTGTATAACGATCTCATCAGCAACCATCAGTAATCACACTAAAAAAAAACTAATTTTGGTCGTTAAGGCTGATTTTACTCTTTTATTAACAGACCAACTACTAAAGAACATTTTTAGGGTTCCGTACCTAAAAAGGAAAAAACGGAACCCTTATAGGATCACTTTGTTGTCCGTCCGTCCGTCCGTCCGTCCGTCTGTCAAGACCGTTTTTCTCAGGAACACGTAGAGGTATCAAACTGAAATTCATATATAATACTCAGGAGTACTGTCCCTTGGAGCTGTGAAAAAATCAAACTTCTAAGCCAAAGCAATCAAAAGATACAGCGGTTTATGTCGCAAATTTTCGAAACTCGCACGGGAATCAAAACCTACAGGGTACTTCCCGTGAACTTAGAATCTTGAAATTTGGTACGAAGTAACGTCTTATAGTACAGATAAAGGAAAAATTGCGAAAACCGTAAATTCTTAGTTACATCCTATAATTTTTCTTTTAATAATTATTAAAATATACCTAGAGGTTTGTACGGAACCCTCGGTGCGCGAGTCCGACTCGCACTTGGCCGGTTTTTTTGGTTTGGTTTTAATCATGGACCAAGCATCATCATACGAAATTATTTGTTTAATCCATTGTATTTATGATTCAGAGCAAGAGGCATATTCGGCACCAGGGAAGATGAAATACGTCTCAGAGAGATGCAGAAACTACAAATGATAGAAAAACAAAGCATCGAACAAGAAAACGAAAATATAGAAGGCATGTGGCATCAGATTTTGCTGAACGATGTCCGGAGAAAAGTATGTCCTTTTATTTAGCTTTTATATTTCTATAGTTTTTGATATTGATAGAAAACTGGCTGACTATGCACTGAAATAGTGGGTATGTCAGCATTATTTTTATTAAGTGGTTTCTAAAGCATACTTGAAAACACGAAATAAGTCTATTTTTAAAGACAACTTTTGTGTTTTTTTCAATGAAGCATTTCATAATTATCAAAAGTAAGCGTCATTAAAAAGTATGTACCAAGGCACCGTCCTAAGCCCATTGTTATTCCTCATTTACATAATAATTATCGGACCCACAATTGTTTCATTGTTCTTATTGTTCACTCAGACATAACGTTAAGATGAAATGGGCCATAAAACTGATGCTGTTTAATTTTTAATAATTTTGTAGGTAACAGACAAAACTTTCCGAAGTACTTTACCTACCTACAAAATACTGGAATTGAATGAAAAACACAAAATTCTCCGTCTGCTAACCTACCCTAGCTCAGATAGTCATATGTTTATTAAATAGCAAAGACTGGAAACAGGAGCAACACATACATTTTATAAAACAAATACTCTATTATTTTAGATTATTGCTGTATTTCATTTGTAGATTGTATTGTTTGTAATACAACAGTTACCTAATTAGTTTTCTTTCTTTCTTTATTTCTTCTAATGTGTGTGATTTACCTATAAATTGTGTTTGAATCCTGGCCGGATCAATTTAGAAAAGTTCTTATATTGTCTCGAGTCTTTGGTTTTGGTATGCCAATTATTTTCAATGGTAAACACAAGTTCTACGTAGGCCAAATTAAAGTGTTTGTGAACACTTCCAATATCTAGTATATGAATTCTATCCGTTACCCAAAGTGAGCACTGTAGGCTTGTATAATGGGATACCAAGATCCCTTTGGGCCTCTGGGGCCAGGCTTATTGGTGTGAGTGTTGGAAATATTTCTATTATATTTAAGTATAATTATTTAGCAAGAATTAGAAAGGAGGGAAGCAAAAAGAAGACACGTGGAGATGCTTGATAGGCGGAAGGCGTACGATGAACAAATAGCAAGTGCTAATAGAAGAAGGCAAGAATTATTACAAGAAGAGAGGGAAAAGGAAAGAAGAAGACTGGAAAAAATGCGGGAGAAGATGGAACGAGATCATTATGAAGGTACCTACAGTAGTTAAATGCTTTCATTCAATATTATTTGTATATAAAATGAGTGTCGAACTTATAAGATTTTATTTTCTCTTGATTTTTACTTTTACAAAGAAAACAACAGTTTTCAATCTATAGATTTTCACCGGTCTCAACATACCTATCGAAAATTATGTAGCTAGCACATAATGCCTCAATAGTCCAAACTAAAAAGGATTTCCGGACACAACCGTTACATTTCACCGTAGAAACTGTTTTGATGTAAACTAAAAGTTTACCTGAAAACAGTTTCTACGGTAACGAAACTTTCATATCGACATTTACATTGCCGAAACTTATAATAGCCGGGACGGTCGCACGTAACAAACAACATACTAACCTAATTTTCGGTATGTTAGAAATAAAGAAGAAAAGGGAACAGCAGTTAATGAACAAACACAACTTTATTGAGGGGCATAAATTGAAAACACTGAAGAAGATTGAAGACAGAGCTGCGGAGAGAGAAATCGACAACAACACTATAAGAACTGCTATGCAAGAGTTAAAGGAGGAGAAACTTAGAAAAAAGCAAGAAATGGTAAGTGAAATGCAATAAAACCTATCTGGGGCACGAGTTTTTGAAAGCTCCGTAAAGTATTCTAATCATAAAAAAAAATATATAGAAAAAGCCAGTGTGTTCTTACGTCCGATACGCTGCTTAGTTTTTAGTAAAACATTTGACGATGCCGATACGATTATGGAGCTGTCAAAACTCGTGCTTGGACTTGCGTACCCCTAGCACGAACCATTATCCAATTCGAATAGTTTGCGAGTGCGAAATATCAATGTCAAATTTTGTATGGAAACTTGAACAGCAGCGCCACGAAGTACGTAACGAGAATTAAAAATCAGTACACATTCGACAGTGACATTTTGGACTCGCAAACGATAGGAATTCGATATTGGTTCGTGCTAAGGGTACTGATAGAAACTCATTTGTTTCTTTACGAAAATATAATTCTCTGGTACTGCCAATAAGCTAAACTGCCAATAAGAGGTATGCTGATCCGAAGTGTTCCGAGGCAACGGGTACCTTTACAAAACGGTACTTTTGCCTCTGCTGGTCCGAAGTGTTCCGAGGCAACGGGTACCTTTACAAAACGGTACTTTTGCCTCTGCTGGTCCGAAGTGTTCCGAGGCAACGGGTACCTTTAAAAAACGGTACTTTTGCCTCTGCTGGTCCGAAGTGTTCCGAGGCAACGGGTACCTTTACAAAACGGTACTTTTGCCTCTGCTGGTCCGAAGTGTTCCGAGGCAACGGGTACCTTTACAAAACGGTACTTTTGCCTCTGCTGGTCCGAAGTGTTCCGAGGCAACAGATACCTTTACAAAACGGTACTTTTGCCACAATCCTTCAGACGATTAGACGTCAACTATAGTTCTTATTTTTTATCTTACATAGGTATACATTAAAATGTACCACATTGTAGTCTTATGACTTATGAAGTATATAAAAAACGGACTGATATCTACACAATCCTACAACATCCTAACAAAAAAGTTCTTTCCCCCATATTTCCTAGCGTAGGTAAATAAATATTAGAATAACAACGCAAACATCCCTCTGAGCGGCGAGTGTGAATTTTTAACTTGCGCGATCAGTGAAATGGGTTTGGCATTTAAGGACTCCCATCTGGTTGAATACACATCATAAGTATATAAAAATATTTGTATGTCGCAGGCGTATTGTATATTTATCCAATACTACATAACGTCTTGCTGTTTCGATAAATGGAGCCATTCTGTATAAGGTAAAAGCAGTAGGCGCTAAGCGATATTTCAAATTGGCATTAAAAGAAGACGTTTTGCACGCCTCACAACGCGTAAGCATGTGGGAGTGCTTTACTCTCGATAGACCGCTATGTGACGATTTTACAATATAAAATCGCTCTTATCTCCCAAATAGACACTAAATCAATAAAGAAAAGGGGTGTTTTGAAAACTAGACATATTAAATTATAGGCAGCGTATTGTTTCATTTTTTTTTTATATATATATAACAAAAAAATGTAGTTAAAAAATTATTAGTTCTGCTGTCCGTTGGCCTGTGCACTTGTTTGTCTGCATGTTTTAGAAAAATATACGCAATTAATTGAAATAAATCCTTTTGAATCAATGTCCACTTATACTGAGGATGAACCCTATTTCTTATCATGATTGAACCGTTTTAAAGATATTAATGAAATTCAATGGAATTTATTTACTGGGCTTCTCTTTCGTGAATGTGAGGCATGCACTTTTAGATTTTCTAAATTTTTTTTTGTTCACCCTATAGACGCTTGCGATACAAAAAATATCACGCGTATTACTACTGTGACCCACTGGAGCCCTGGAAACTTACTCACCGACAGAAACACAACACTACCAAGAAGCCGTGTTGTTTTACTGTGATCTTCTATAAGGTGGAGGTTACTTCCCCAGACGGGCGCTCCAATTTGAACCGGAAATCCGCTATGCCCCTACCTCTCTTATTACCTAGGAGCAGCGTTGCCAGACATCCCGATTTTGGCGGGACGTCACGATTTTTAAATCAAAATTGTATGTCCAGCGCGGGACAGGCTCAATCCCGCTTTTCGGGAATAACTCGACCGTGCGTGCTGCGTACTGAGAAAGTGCGGGCGTGCGGCACAGACAAGTGTGGACTGGCCGCCCGCCCTGTGCATAATGAAGATAAATATTCAATAACTTTTGATTATATACGTTTTTTTTACTATGTCCCGCTTTCATCAAAAGAATCCCGCGTTTTTCACTCAAAAAGTTCCTAAACCCCGACAAATTTGGGAACGCTGCCTACGAGTAATTTGCTAAGCCTATAAAAAAAATATTGATAAGTTTATTAAATTATCTTACTATTATAACCAACATTTGCTTTAGATAGATATTTATCTTACCTCTGCAACTGAAAAATATTTTTTTAATCAGAAAGACAATACTGCGAGTAATAACCCCACATGCCGATCAACTGTGCTATTGATATTCTTACAATCGAAGTAATGACAAACTTGGAACAAAGTCACTATTCACCGCGGAATCCGCGTGTGCTTTGAAATTAGAATAGGAGACCGAAGAGCTGGCAGCTACCTCGGACAAAGAATTAGTCTAGCCATTCAAAGGGGTAACGCTGCCAGTATCTTCGGATCCTTGCCTAAAAGGACTCCTTTTAATAATATATTTTAGTTATTAATTTTATTTTTTAAGGTTTTTAGTTTTATTGTTCTAGTATTTATATTTTACTTATATATAGTGTAATGTAATTAGATAGAGACTTATTTGTTTATAGTTAGTGTATTTTATAGTTTTATGATGTGAAATTGTTAATATTATTGAAAATAAATGTTATTGTCTATAAATACGAACTTCCTAATCTACATCGAGATGTTAGCGACCGCGGGCCAATGTCCCTTGTTCTACAGTTTCCTATAAACCTTGTAAACAAAACCCCAAAGTGACCCATTGATTTGTATGATGTGATTTGAAAATTTCGAAAATTGTATTTTAATTTCAAATCACATCGCGGATTCCGCGGTAAAAAGTGAGTTGATTCCTACAGAATAAGCACTGTAGCTAAATAATACCAAGGTATATTTACCGAGAGTAGGCACTCATCGAATCGATAAGAAAATAATAGGAAGCTTTTCCGAGTGACGAAAAAATGATATTCAGTCGTTGATTTCATGTTTTACCGATCCATATCACTTGGTAATAGGTATTTAAAAAAAATAAACTTGCTCTTTTGTAAAATACAAGCAACGACATAGTAGGTAAGTAAATATTGAAAAAAGTGTTCCTAATTAATAATTGACTCAAGTCGTGTAACATTCCCAACAAATTCTCTATCATCGAAGTAAACTGCAATCATCAAAATTTCGAAGTTATTCCGGAATAATAGAAATGGCCAAATATTCATGACAAACAGCTCACAGACAAAGGGATAAAATGACGAACAGTCAAAGCTTATTAAAAGGGTTCCGTTTTCACAATTTGGATAGGAATCTCTAAAAATGTCATTTTCGTGTAGGTAGTTTGTGAGTGTTTTTTCAGATGAAATCATAATTGTTGTCACACATCCATTAATTCATTAACACTAACTGTATTTCAAACTTATCTGAGACTTTCATTATTTACCTATTGGCTGTACCAGAAATGTTAACGTTTAAATATAAAAAAAAATATTACTACTAATAACTGCACTAGGTCCAGGTCTCAGATGAGATTCAAACCTGCATCTTTCGCTATCTGGTAGCGAATTTTATCTAATATTTTTTTCTTTATATTTAAACACTAGCGGCCCGTTCCGGCTTCACACGGGTGTATTAAATACTATGGAAACATAATGAATCAGCATCCGAAAAAAGAACATGAATAAATTAATATAGATTTTAAAAGTAGCCGGACTGAGTTTCTTATGTAATTCTTTTCCATTGCCTTTTGAAATCCTGGCAGTCTTAGTAGCCACGACACAGACAGACTTTTTGACTCTGATTAATCACAACAGACTGACAGACTTTTTGACTATTTGACAGGTCACAACTGACTGGCAGAGGTTTTTACTCTTTGACGGATCACAACTGACTGACAGACCTTCTGATTCTTTGAAGGATCAAAACTGACTGACAAAGTTTTTTCCCTTTAATGGATTACAACCAACTGAAAGATTTTTGACTATTTGACACATCACACCAGACTAACAGACTTTTTTTACTTTTGACAGATCACAATAGACTGACAGACTTTTTGACTATTTGACAGATCACAACAGACTGACAGACTTTTTGACTTTTGACAGATCACAACAGACTGACAAACTTTTTGACTATTTGGCAAATCACAACTGACTGACATAGGTTTTGAATATTTGATGGTTCACAACAGCCAATCAATCAATATATGTCCATTTCAGTCTCAAATTAACAGAAGAAGTTTATAGAAGAAATAATGACTCGTCGCGGCTGCGCACGGGCACGCTAATATTATCGGGAGTATTGTATTAAGTAGATTCGAATCAGCATCAGGAAATAATAGGTGTATACGTAGGTACGATCTGGTAAAAATGTTTTGTAATCGGTCAAGTGGTTGAAAAATAGAATTTTACCCCTGGAGATTCCGTGTCCGTGGAATTAACAGATCAAAAGTTGTACTTATTCTTCTACAATTTCAAACATTGAAGATTTCATTTCTCATTCGGGAAAAAGTTTGTTTTATTGTTAACTTTTACAATAAAACTTCTAGGTAATAATAGGAACCTACTGCCAAATTTTATCATTCTAGGTCCAGCTGTTTCGGCTGTGCGTTGATGAGTCAGTCTGTCTGTGTATTCTTTTCTCTATTTTATTTTTTTAAGCATTTAACTGATAGATCTTTAAATCCGAGTCCCAGGTTCGACCGAGTCTCTGTCTGCTGACTGGTCCGCGTGGAACTTTTTCTAGTAAAATTTTCTTCACATTTAAACAAATAAAAATATTACTAAAATTGCAATTTCTTCTTTCAAATGTTTAATTCTTGTAAAGGTAACATTTGACATTGTGGGTAACCTACAATGCGAAGAGATGGCGCTGACTTGCAGCCTAAGAAATATTACAGAAAATTCGACACGGACAATTAGGGCCGCGGTAGCATAATGGTCAGTGCATCTACCCGATAGCGGAATGTGCGCGTTCGGGTCCCGTCTGCTGCCTTGTCCGTGTGGAACTTTTTCTAGTTAAATTTTCTTCTATGTGTTTTAACGCTGTGTTTTAATTTCAGTTAAAGTGGCGAAGGGAGGAAGAAATATTCACAGAGAACTTTAACCGTGAGAGAAAAATAGCTGAAGAATTGGACGTAGAAGGAGACAGAGTTGTACAAGAATGGAAACAGCAGGAAGAGCAAAAAGCAGACGAGTTTCTTAGACAAGTTGAGAATGAGAAAAACGATAATAAAAACGTAAGTTCTGAGTTTCAAGTTCAATAATACAAACTACTATTTGTGAGCGATAAGTTTAAGTAAGTTTAATTTTTAATTCATAATAACATTTATTTCCAAATGCAGAAAGCCGTGCAAGATTACCAAAGACACCTACAAAAACTGAAAGAGAACATGATCAAGGAGAGAATTGAGCGAGCCGAGCGAATGCATCAAGTATCGAGAACTGCTTACAAAGAATTGCAAAGAAAAATGGAGAGCGCCAACCAAGAGTTAAAGAAACAGATGGACTTTAGGGATACACTATACAAACAGATTCAGGACAATCAGAAGTTATTGGTTAGTCACATATTACTCATTTAGTTAATGGTTGTTTGACCCTCCTCCGCTCGTATTTCTCAACAGCTAAAAAGAAGACCTGTACCCCTAGCACGAATCAATATCGAATTTTCATCTTCTACGAGTCCGAAATGTCATTGTCAAATGTGTACTGATTATTCGTTCCCGTTACGTACTCTGTAACGCTGCTGTTCAAGTTACCATACAAAATTTGACATTGACAATTCGGTTTGCAAACTATTCTAATTCGATAATGGTTCGAGCTAGGGGTACAGAAAGCAAAAAAAATGTTTTTGAAGTGAAAACTTCTTAAGCACCGTTATGATTTGAATTTAAGGAAGCTTTTAAGTTAAGTACTTTCATGTAGGTATAGGTCCATTTAAGCGAAAAGGACCTAATATTATTATTGTTATCATTTACTAATAGTGTGTTCTAGGAAAGCAATATTATCGAGACCGAGAGTAAGGATTGGCCGTTCACCAGAAAATCGGAAATGTTTAGTGACGTCATGCTGAACAGATACAAACAAACTTCTGCTAGAAAAAGGTGACTATTTTTCATGTAAGAACTCCTTGTACTTGTAAACATCCCTAGCTTCACTGCGATGTAGATAGGACAACAGGTATAGGTAGGATGTACGACAGGGTTGGGAATCCAGTTGGCCATCTCCGGCCCTCGAATGGCTGAAATCCGGCCCGCGTCAATAAAAAAAAACAAAATTTCTCTACAAAAAGCAAGTTTTTAAATTTTCTTACAATGTGCAAAAGCGCTAAGCATTATACAGACAGACGAGGGCGGCGAATTAATTTTATACTATTGCTATATAAAAAGATAATAATATACATATTTTAACACTGAAGATCAATCTTAATTTAACAAACAATTGCATTATATACACATCAAGAAGGGTGAGACCACGCGCGACCCATGGAATCTGAAGTCTCGGGTAATCCCCGAGATTTGCCGACCCTGATTTGACGTTGACAAAAGAATCGCGATCTCGAAAGCTTTTGCCAGTGATCTTTTATATTTATTTTAGAATAAAGAGGAAACCATAAAAAAAATGGGTGCGTGTACTTATGTAGGCGCGTGAGAAGTTATCCTTCTTTGGCATCGTTTAAAATTAGTTTTTAATTGCATGCAAATAATTAATTACAATAAATTAATAAAAAGTCTGGAAAAGGACACAGTCAATAAAGTTCAGTTTTAATTTGAAAAAATAAATAAATAATCAAAATATTCAATTAAAATCGCTACTGAATATAATTTATTAGAACATATGTGATTTGCACTTGTATGAAACTCAAACACGTATTCCGAATATACAAACTAGAAACATGTGGATAAATATTATAAATATGAATACCTATAACTGTTACTTTATTACAAAAAATAAAGATGTGGTTTTTGGTTCTACTACACCAATAGTCAAGAGACGGCGCTGTAGTCTCCTGAATCGCGCTTTGGTTCCGTTGTTCCAGATTAATAAATACTTTTGATATTATAAATATGAATACCTATATCTGTTACTTTATTATAAAAAATAAAGATGTGGTTTTTGGTTCTACTACACCAATGGTCAAGAGATGGCGCTGTAGTCGCCTGAATCGCGCTTTGGTTCCGTTGTTCCAGATTAATAAATACTTTTGATAGGCCTTCACAATGCAGTCGTTAGCACCCACTAAATAGAGATTCTATTTCTATTTTGTTGGTAGATTTTCTAAATGTGCGGTGCGGTAAACGCTAAAGCGACCAACTTCATGCTGTTAAAATTTTGTGTTACAGTGATGCGCGCGCATCTTAAAATTTCACTCTCATCATTTTTTCATAACGCGCCTAAAGAAGTATAACTTCAAAAATGTAAATCCTAATTTGTAAATCATGGGAATAATGGGATTATATTCTTCTTCTTATATATAAAATTCTCGTGTTGTTGACAATCTTAGTAACCATACTCCTCCGAAACGGCTTGACCTTTTTTACCCGGCTGCGCAATGCAAGAGCGCGAAGCGCGACGCGCAGACAGGGTTATGTGTTTAACAGTCTATATATGTATGTTTTTTATGAAATTTTATATACATATTCAGTAGGTCTGAGAATCGGCTACTATCTGTTTTTCATACCCCTAAGTGATAAGGGTTGTCTACCCCTAACATTTATTTTTAATTTTTTGGTTTTTATTTTATTTTTATAATGTGGCAATCAAAAATACATACAAACCTGAATTTTCTATGGCGATACGAAGTTCGCTAGGTCAGCTAGTTATTCCATAAGATTTTATCCAATAGCTTTAAATGCTAATGGCTTAATTACACTTGGTCGTTAGCCCGAATACGATTGCCAATGGAATTCGAGTATAGGACTAAGTATAAATGAACGGAGTCGAGTACGCCCATATTCGGGTAGTTTTCGTATTGGCTTTCCGACACCGACTTCCATCCCGTATTTCAGTGTAAATATTGATTCGGGTACCCGAATTCGAGTAATGTCTATCGTGCATGGGGGGCATACGAGCAGACAGCTCACCTGACCTGCCCCCCTAGCATGAGTAACAAAACGCGATATGATAAAGCGATTAACTAGAGTGTCGATAAATCGCTTTATCATATCGCGTTTTGTTAGTCATGCTAGGGGGGCTGAAGTGATCACCATCGCCAATAGACATCTGCAACACTAGGAGTATCACAAATGCAGTGCCGGTTATTAAGTTTAAGGAAAGTACCTACCGCTATTTTTTTAAAGGTTTTTGGGTCGTTTTGGTCCAGAAATATTGCTGGCACCCACATGTTTTTGTGATGTAATGGAAAGTGACTTCAAAAGTATCTCTGAAGTCACTATTTAACTTGACGAGTCTGTATATAACAATACAGGGAGAAAAAACAGCCCTTGCTGAGTTTCTTGTCGGTTCTTCACAGTACAAGGTCTCCCGCCGTAGTTTTGCAAACCGATGGCGTAGCTTCTTGACTATCACAAGTGCTTGTAACAGCCTAAACTGAAAAAATATTTTTTGATTTTGTTGTGTGTGTGCGTGTGTTAAAGTACCCACACTCTTATGTATCTCTGTCACTCTGAACCACTGAAATTAAACCATGTGAAAGTTTGTGGTTCAGGTACTAATTGCGTATTATTTTTGTATGTTACAGCACAAATCCGGTCCACCCTTTCAAAAGAATGATAGAAGCTGAAGAAATTAAGAGCACAGTCCATCTTCCTGTAATAGGAACTAAATACAAATGAATTATATGCTTACATTTTTATCATAAACTTTTTTACAAATACATGGTAGTGGAAATGCTTTGTAACGCTTATTGTTTCCCGGGTTAGGTACATACCTACTTAAAGAAAAGTTTACTTGTGAAAATTCCACACGCGCTTTAAAAAAATAAAACCCTAACTATCATTACTATTTCTTCTTTCAAATGTTAATACCTGTTAAGGTATTCATTTGACATTGTGGGTTACCTACAATGCGAAGAGATGGCGCTGCCTTGCAGCCTAAGGCTAGTGAAAATTCGACACGGCCGTCAGAGCCGCGGTAACATAATAGTCAGTGCATTCGCCCGAATAGCGAAGAGTACAGGTTCGAGTCCCGTCTGCTGCCTGGTCCGCGTGAATTTTTTTCTAGTAAACTATTCTTTAGATTTATACATCTAGCAGTTTATACATATAGTCGTGGACAAGTCACAGTGGGTACAGATTGTGTAATGGGTACATGGACCCCCCCCCCCCCCGGACCTCGCTTTATCATTATCCCTGGCGAGATGAAACAATTCCGCGGCGCTGTTGTCTCCAGTCCAATCACGGATGTTTCGAAGCCAGGATTTTTACCGACGGCTTCATTCCCCCACAATTTTGCCCATCAATCATAATGAGTTGCAGAACATCGTATCTCTCGTGTATGAAGAAAAGTTTTTTTACTTAATGTAAGTAAATAGTATTAGACATAATAATTATTCGTCCATGGTATTGGTCATTTTCTCGGCTGTTTAGATACCTAGCTTCAGTTTTGTAACTCAATCCGTTTAATATGATTAGAGACCCGTGGCATACGGACAGAGAGACGACAGAGGGATTCCGGAACTAAAAAGATTTATACCCGTACCTTATAAGTACATATTCTAACATTCACGGATTATTTGAATGTTCTAATCTGCAAATAAAATGTAATTTAATAATTCTATTCATCACAATGAAATGAATAGTCTATTTTTCTGTTCCTTAATTTTGATTAATAATTTTAATGCCATCTATTGAAGGACTATACAGATTACACTAATAAACTTATAGCGCCATCTAGTTCCATATTGCATAAAAGTTTTGTAGATGTGGTTTCTATTCACGTTTAGTTATCATAAAATAAAATTATTACGACGATTTTAAATAGACTTTGAAAGCACATACGTTTTAAAACATAACAAAAGTTATTAACAGTCTAATTTTTATTTCTAAATTATAATTAAATACAAACAATACATTCTTCCATTAGATATTATACAAAAGTTCCTTCAGTCAAAACGAAACGCTACGCTCGCAAAACTTTTTTTGAATTCCGTAGAATCAAAACAAACCGGCATGCGATGTTTGTGTAAAAATATTTCTAAATTAAAAGGTATCTAACATTTTCAACACTTCTTTTGTTTTTAATATCGAGGGTAATTTTATAGTTTTGCCTAATGCTTTATGAACCTGTTCTATAAGTACTATAGCGTTAACTTCGCACGTGCTTTGAAAGTTTTGCAAAATCTGCGATCATGGGAGACCTAAAATTTTCTCTGAACGATTTGGAAAGCCGATCTTACAGGGATTTACAGCAATTGGCTAAGTCTTTATGCCTACCTTCTAACGTTAAGGTAAATATATTACGCCAAATTACATTAGTTTCTCTGTAAAGGCACATGAATGCTCATTAAAATTTTATTGTTTATCCTGTAAATACTATGTGTATGTAACAAAAGAAAACCTCACTTTACGCCACATTTTTACGATTGATAAGATTTTTAAGAAGTTTATGGTTCTTGACTTTATAATTTCAGAAAGTTCATCTTATTGAAATGGTTCATGCCAAAAAGTTTAAGACTGCTGTCGAAGTGGAAAACATTGTACAAAGAGTGAAGATGGAAAGACGTCAATTATCTCAGATTCGGAAGAATATTACCAGGAAAAGGGTTCATATGCAGGTACCTACTTGTAATCGGTTTACTAATAACAGTTTCACTCATTATTTGCATTATAAACATAAGTCAACTAATGTAATAAAAAAATCTTATTCAATCTGCATCCTTATAAAATACACTACTAGCTATTAATGTCAACTTCTTTATACAAAGCAAACAATTTTTATCTTTTTTTTTGAGTGTGTATGCTGTTGGTCGCAGATGACCTTTACAACATCACTAGGTTCGCTCTCACAGTGCGACTAAGATCTTGTGGCACTTTTAACCTCCTGACATCTGATGTACTGTTCAAAGTGCTAAATTAACCATACTCTGAAGGGGTAATATTTTTGTACTTCTTATTTCGACAACAGATGCCTGACCTTCAGGTAACATCAATTCCCGAGTGTTTGTTATTAATATTTTAGGCATTTGAAATAAATGTGATTATTTGTAATAATTTCTTTTACTACTTAATTGATAATAATTATTTGTTATGCTCAATGTCTATATCAAATAATATTAAAAAACATTTGTTGAAGTGAAACCTCTGAAAAAACTGCTGTTTAATGCTTTGTAAAGAACATTTGCCCATAGTGGCAAGAGATTTTAGTAAATGCTTGGGTGTCAGAAGGATATGAAATAATACTTTACAGTAACATGAAAAGAGTAATTAAAAGGGTTACTTACAACTTCCTCTATAAATAAAGGGTATAATCTTATATATAAATTCTTAAAATTTGTTCCAAATTTGACCAAGCGCCACAAGATCTTGATTGATGTGTAGTGTAGTATTCCGTCTGTATTTCAAGCCATAAGGAATTATGCTGTGGAGACCATAGATTAATAATGATACCTTTTTTTGTTTATTTCATAGTAAAAATAACAATTACAGTGCTAAAAATTACACCATAAATCGCAGAATTTGTTTGGTGTGTGCCTAAAGTTGCTTGTTGATTAAAAAATGGGATTAAAAAAAACAGCGCTCCTATTCACTGCTCCTACCACTCACTTGTACTATATTACTGTATTTATTCACAATGGTCTCTATGGACAGCAAAAAATACTTTACTTGGAAAACCAGACCTTGTTATGGAATAAATCTAATGTTATTAAAAAAAGTGATTTATTGATTAAAAATCCTAACAGTTTTGCATCATCCTTTTGAGAGTTATCATTTTGGACTACCTTAAATAATTTAATAAATTACACTGTAGTTTTTTTTTTTGTGTTAACTATTTTCAGGGCAAAGAAGGATCATCTACAAATAAAAACCTTTCCCCTCCTATAAGTAACACTCCAAAACATGCTGGCCACATTTTAATTGAATATAGCCCAAAAACTCATCACACAATCATGAAATACACCCATGAACCCCTACTTCATTCCCCCCACGTAAAGAAGACATACTCTTCAATAAAAACTGTTGACAGCAGTGACCGAATCCTGAGAAGTTTTAATATCAAAAGGCAACTGATGTCACAAGCAAGTATAAACAGTAACATTTTGAAAGTAATCAAAAGTCAGAACACAAGAAATTTAAGACCGGCTATCACTCAGAGACATAACTATATTCCTCAAGAAACAAGAATTAATTTGTTCAATGAAAACAATCTTTTTCAAAAAGTTAATGTGACTGCCAAATGTTTGGGTAAGAAACCCATTGTGTACATGCAGAATCCTTATTCTAGAGAGACCGCAATAGCTAATGAATCTAGACTGCAAGTTATTACAGTGCAAGATAAATCAGTAAGTTATGTTACAGTGAGTATCATTATTTGAATATAGAAATTACTCAAAAATCTTATACAGAGTGTAAAAAAACCTATGACAAAGACTAAAACTACTCATTCTGTACACCCAAACACGTAATATTACAAAATATTATATGTGGGAATAATTTGTATTCTTAAAGTTAAAAAAAAATAAAAAAGAAACAGGTATAGCGCGCCGCGCTACTGTGGCGCTACGCAAAGAATGTGCCCGTGTGTATGTGTGTGCGTGTGTGTAAGTGCGTAGGTACATAAAAAGTTTCTAAATAACGTTTTGTATATAGTAATATATAAATCTTGAAAAAAATATTGTGACTTTGACCTTCAATATCTCCATAGCCATAAATTTCCCTGGTATGGTCCAGAAAAAAAATGATCGTCATGATGTGGAAAATATTTGGCTTTCAACTTTGTTAAAGGATTTTTTACACCCTGTATGTGAGAATAGTGATATTCTTCAGGAGCAAAGGCGGATCCAGCTTTGGCGCCAGGGGGGGGGGGGGTCATATAGCCAGCTTTGGCGCCAGGGGGGGTCATATAGTCGTGGTATATTAAATATTGAAAGTACTTAAATAAAATCCCCCTGGGTTTGGTCCATCTGTACCCAGCCCAGGGGGGGGTCATGACCCCCATGACCCCCCCCCCCTGGATCCGCCCTTGTTCAGGAGTTGTAACATAATACTTGAATGCTATAAGTATAGATAATTTGCTCACGATAATTCTTTCTGTGAGTTCACTCTCATTGTTTTAATGCATTTTATCATTATTTTAGAATGCAACCCAGACATTACCTGTAATAAAACAAAAAAGGAGGCTCAGCGGAATCTACCCTATTGTCACTAAAGAATCCACTCCAAATGTAAGTTATGAATACATTCAGAGTATCGGTTTTCGACGAAGCGATGGCAAGATATCTAAAATCAATGCATTAGTGCAGAAAAACTTGAACAAAGAACAGTGTGCTTCTTCATGTAGGAATATAGATTTGACCGTTCAAGACTTGATTAATTCAAATATAGATTCTCAAAATCTAACAGATTGTGTAGTCCAAGATTCTACAACCAACATGCAATATCCAAATATGAGTAGCTTAGAATATATGCCATCTTGCAGTCAGAAACAAATTAATTACTTTGGTATGTCTAATGGCGCTTGCAAAGAAAATGAATATTCACATTCATCTGTATATTATCACAAGAAGATCAGAGGTGAACAGATAAGGTCTCAAAGGAGAATCAGTGTTCAAAAGGACAGGAATAATACATCTACATATGATGAAGAAAGGTTGCCGAGAATCAACGAGGTTTTTAGCAGATTTAGTGATGTTCATGAAAAGGATCTCACGCAACCAATTTATGTTCAAGTCAGCAAAGAGTCGGAGAGAAGTAAGTAGTTATTTTTTATAATAGCCCTTTAACTATACCTCTAAGCAATAATTTTGCACTAGTCTTGTTGAAAACAATAAATTTTTCTATTGCACCTTATGCTAAAATTATTTACATTCCTTTTTATTGTTGGGAATTTCCAATTTTAAGTTTTTTCAATAAGCCCAGTGACACTTTGAAGGTAATTAACAATCCACAGCACATACTCATAAAAAAAGTTTTTTTTAGTGTGTTTCAAATTTTGTTTTTGATTAAATTGTTAGGTTTTGATTGCATTTTTTCATTTACCAACATACAACATCACTTTTCAGTACTGAACTACCCAATATTCGTGTCAAAAGCCAACAATACCAATATGTTGGAGAGCATGTACAACTTCAAGAACCAATTCGTAACAAATCAACCGCTTTTACAAGTAGCTACCACAACTGCAACAAAGTGTGTTTATAGTACTCCGGTAATTGCCACTGCGTAAGTATAATAAGTACGTTTGAATCTACATTCAATTTACGTTTATACCTAACAGCAATACTCGAAAAGGTCAAATAAATTTAATTATTCATTAACAGCCAATTTCAATAATCATTACTCATAATACCAGTAAACGGCAGGCATGCTAAATAAAGATTTATTGCTAAGATATTTCTATTATTAAGACTATAATAACTGTTGCTAAGTAATGGATTATCCTTACCCATAACTGGAGGTTGATTATTGAAACTGGCCGTTATTCATTTGTTGTGACAGCATAAACATAGTCAAACTTAAAATTTAACATGATTTCTATAAGTCTGATCATCAAACATTAGAGGAATCATTAACAAATCAATCTAAAGGCTTACTTTAACAAATCATATTTTGGAAATTAAAAGAAAGGAAATTAGTTATATATATATAAAGCTGAAAGTCAAAAATTTTCTCACGCATGTTCCCTATTTGAGATGATAGTGATATAAGACCATCTTAACCAATTGAGGCGAAGATTGCATGCGCTGTTTTCAAATAAATTATAGAATTTCCTTGCATTTTTGATGTCGAGAACGAGCTAATATCGCCTTTAAGTAATAGAGTACCAAGAACTGCATTAAAAATGTTTAAATGAGGTGCCAGACATAAAAGTTAAATATACTTGAATACCCATGTCATCATCTCTACTTGTAGACATACAGAATGGACTGAGCGATCTTATGAAACCAACAACTCTGAACCGGAAAGCTACAAGAAACAGGTAATGAACCGCCCCATCTCTCTGTCTCTCTCACACTTAAGCCTATTCTAGACAAGGGTGTAATCTAGCGTACCAACCAAGGTGACCTTGGTGGGAAGTTGGTTTCCATCATCATTATGATTTTCGGCTACACGAATGTAATCCACGCGCCAACACGCAATCGCGAGCCGTCATCTGGCGTAAAAACACGTATGCACTTGTATCATGCGCGGACTGTATTAACCGTCTTGTAGAAATGGCTCCCAATTTGTCTAAATTTCAAAATGTGGGCTTTGCCTTAACAGTTTTGTGTGTTATAGACGACGAAAAACAACAAAAAAGACAATGTCGATTAAGCGTTGGTTACAACAGCGAATGATTCTCAGCCATTCTAATTCATTCAAACTTATTGGAGTTATTGGACTTCAATGATATTCGTAACTTCCTAAAAATACGTGCGCATCCGCCGACTGCCACAGCGCAACTGTCTTTGGTTGGATGTAATCCGCCGATCAAACGGTTGTAATCCACGCGCTCCAACTGCGGATGTAAACACGCGCCCGTAATCCAAGGACGTTGAAGGTCAAATCAAAATTTGGATTGCATTATTCGTCTAGAAGGATCGCAACGGGCAAGATCACCTTGGTTGTTATGCTGGATTACATCCGTCTAGAACAGGTCTTATCTGCCCAGTTCATTATGGAACTCTCAGTCCATTGTCTGTGTCTATGTTCTTACATTTTCATGACAGCTTTATTAAACCTACAATTGGGATTGGTTAGGTCTATTGTATTTCAATAACCATATGTCACTCATTGATTGCCTCGATCGCTTACAAAAGTTATAAACCCATAAAGGTAGAAGAATAGATTAGGGGAGATATAGACTCTATTACAAGTGGAAGTGTCCCTCTAATGGGAAAAGAAAGAAGATGAGAGACCGCTAGCTTTCTCTCTCTAATCGCGCATGCGCATTGGCAACCGTAAGCATCTTACTATTTCGATGTGATGCCATTGGATGCCATGCGTCACAAGGGAGAGAGATAGCTAGCGGTCTGCCATCTTCTCTCTCTTTCTATTAGACGGACACTTTTAGAGCCACCTTCCCCACTCTATTCTTATATCTCTATGCTTAAAACAGTTATAAACCCTGACAAACTTCTTGAGCAACGACCATAGACAAGGAAGCATGCGCAGTAGCTATTTTACATACAAAACCGTCTATTGCGCAAGTTTATTTGTCTGTGGTTTTGCTCAAGAAGTTTGCTGCTACCTAAACGGAAATCTGCTCTCCTTGTCCCTATGTTTCATTTCTTTTATTAACATTTTGTTTCTTTTTCATATGCACGCTGTTTTTAAGACACAAAACCTTCACAACTATCTTAACTTACTTTACTTCCATCATAACAAAGTTGTATTTATGAAGTGAAACTTCTTTTCGCACGGGGAATTGTAAAGGTCCTCCTGGACCTTTTCCATAGGATTTTTTCCTAACAAAACAAAACTGCGCAACACTGTGGCATGGCCAGGCCAGGCCGTTTATGTTTAAAATACGGTTCTTTTGTATTAAAATATGATTTAAATGTAAACTTTGAATTCACGCACGTATTAATAAAATTTAAAAGATACAATTCAGGACCTCAGTCAACAGTGGCGCCATCTGGTGAGACAGAAAACGGTAGCCCTCATTGGATGAATTATAAAATTATTTAAAATATAGTTGTGAAGGTTTATTGTTGTCCCGCTTGCACATCACGCACGCTTTCAGAATGGCGCAGGCATCCACAGCTACGGTCGACGCTTACTATGTGTCCCGTAAGTCACACGCTATCGCTTTCCTCTAATCCTATCTTAATAACGATATTAAACAGTCTAAATACAACACGAACGCGAATTTCATATTTTAAGATTTTTCCCAAGCCCAGTGACACTTTGAATGTAAACAGTAACCCACAATACACACTATTAAAAAAAATTTTTAGTTCAGCAAAATTTTTATTTTTTATTAAAATGTTAGCAACGATATTAAATACCCTAGATACACCACGATCGCTTAAAAATTAGTCCCAATCAAGAAGTGCTTGAACACAACTCGAGCACTTCTTGGTTCACAGTCAAACCCGAAACTCTGAAAAGTCAAAATGCAACGATATTAAATACCCTACAACAACACGAACAAAATCGTGGCCGAAACTTGTCCAAAAGGTACATCAGACGATCTACGGCGCTCCGTGGGATGTTCGCGTTGTAAAAAACGATATAAGGCATTCTTTAAACATTCAAAATCACCTTTAATACAAATTATATAAGGTCTTAATTTAAACGCATGCGTCAAACAGTTACGATTGTTCGAAATGGAAGCTCGTAACATTTTACGACTTGTTGCTATAGGCTAAATTAGTAACCTTTGCATGTTAATGTTTTTTATTTACATCTGTTTCCGGTATAGTGTTCTTCTCCAATTTGATAAAAAAAAATATAAATCCTTTATGTTAATAAATGCATGAGAATGTCCCAAAAATCTGCTGCTGCCTAAATAAAAGAAATTAAATAAAGGTAAATTTTTTATGGAAAATTGTGATAAAATCAACAATAATCCACATGTTTTGTATAAATAGTCTCCCATTGTTTTATTAGCTCTTTTTCAGAGTGAAATAGTTTATTGACGATGATCAAATGAAGAATTCTATCTTCGTAATCTTTATCCATTTCTAATAAAGTCTTATTCTAAAAGGAAAAAAAACTGTGTGTCCACTCAAAACTTAGCATATGCTAGACAGAGATATAAAGATATGAAACTAAGTTAAAATGCGCATATTAATGATTCTAAAAGGAAACTATAAACACGCATATAAAATCATAATAAAAAAATTACTTTGAACGCGTTAAAATCTTAAATTAAAACAAAAAGAGAAGATAAGGCACTAGCCTCTCAAAAGTAAGCCGCTTAAATTGTGGTGCCTCACCACAATTCGCTTTAGTCACAATTTGACATCCAAACACGCTGCATGTGCTGCACTCTATTTAACAATATTGCGTATATTCTGTGTTATAAAGATAAAACAATGCTTTCGATGCTTTGAAAAAGAGCACAAATATTTCAAGAACAAATAACAAATTCCACGACAAGACTTTTCATTTGTAAAACTGTAAAATCATTTTTTCACAAAAATCATGGCTTGTCATGAATGTTATTTAGTTATTCGCCTTTTCTTATTAAGAAAAGGACAACAATACAACTCAGTCGTTTATAGAAAACGCAATTGCCTACCAAGCGACACCGTGGGCTCTATAATGCTACTAAATTGAAGGGTAGTGATAAAGTAAAAAATTCATGTTGAAATGAGATCTTTGTTATCCTTCTGGTTACATCGGCTATCTTTACTCTCGATAAAAAGTTTTACAAACATTGGTTTATTTGTTTACCTTATGTCTCAAAGGAACTTGAATAGTGTATAATATGATTATCATAACATTGTAGCGTGCGAGCGGGATAGCCAATGCAGTAATGAGGCAAAGATACCAAGGATCTATGATTTTCTGGCGATGGCAGAACAAGATTCTAGACGTTGTAATGGATATAATTCCATACTAGAAGGTAAAGTAATACTTAGACCCAAAAACAATTTATTACAGGTCCGTAATCGTATTACATCGTCAAAGTTTCTATGAAAATTAAGCAGCGCCCCTATCGGACGTAGAAACAAACTGGCTATTTCAATATAAAATTATGGTGACGATACGTTTACGGAGCTGTGAAATTTTGTGCTTGATTTTGTTTTAACTTTTTGGCCCTTTTTTAAAAAGATCAAGCAATTAACGCCTATTAGTGTAAGCCTTTAAGCCTATAATCGTTTAACCTGACTTATCTTAGTTACATATCAGATAGAATTTGGCGAGCCTTGTTTAAAAAGATCAAGCGATTAACGCCGTTACGGTTAAAGCCTTAGTGGCTATAATCGTTTACCCTGACTAGTTACATATCAGATTTCAGTACATCTACATCGCCGTTGGACAGATCAAGCTTGCAGCAGGCTAATATTCCTGAAATGGTAGAAGACGCTCTGGAAATAATAAGCCAAGATGGGGTAAGCTGCTTTCTGAATCCTATTCATCATCATCAATCTATTAATGCCGTCACTGCTGGAGCGCAGGCCTTCCCTATGGATGGAATAGGGAGATTGGGCCATGAGCATGACTCACCACGTTGGCCTAATGCGAATTGGGCCATGAGAATGACTCACCACGTTGGCCTAATGCGGATTGGGTCATGAGCATGAAAGAAAGAAAGAAAGAAAAACGTTTATTGGCCTAAAACATTTACAGAACAACATACATTGAATAAATAAAGAGAAAATCAATAATATAGTGAGAAAGATATAAATAAAAAATAAAAAGGAAAGGCCAATGTAGGTCACTGCCTCAGCCTAAACTGCTACGACTCTTGGCACAAGGCCGCAGCAGCACTGATATTCAGGCAGCGCCCCCTCTTAATTTTTACAAATAACATGACAAACACGTGTTTAACACGAAGATATGGTGCACGTTATCTTAAAAAAAAAAGGCTAGAAAAGTTACTACGTTACAGACTAAAACTAATTGTTGAATTACAATATATGACTATTTTTTTATAAAAAGTAATAATTCTTGTTTATAAATTTACAAATTATCGCTTCAATCTCAGCCATTTTATTATTCTTGCGAAAATGACTATATTCTACAAATCATTCCAATATAGTACAAAATTAATTTGAAATTACATAGTAAAAAAAAACAAATAACTTTATGATAAAACACTGAATTACAGTATATTATAAACTATTTGTATAATAAATTAACAATTGTATGAATACATTCTCCGGATCATAACAGAAAAATGGTAAGTTGTAATCTTAACTCAGTTAATGTACTGTACTTTCTGCATAGCCAACAGATGCTGTTTATTATATTTTTGAAAGGCAAACTTTGTTTGCATGACCCACCACGTTGACCTAATGCGGATGGGGTCATGAGCATGACCCACCAAGTTGGCCTAATGCGGATTGGGCCGTGAGCATGACCCACCACGTTGACCTAATGCGGATTGGGCCATGAGCATGACCCACCAAGTTGGCCTAATGCGGATTGGGCCATGAGCATGACCTACCACGTTGGCCCAATGCGGATTGGGCCATGAGCCTGACCCACCATGTTGGCCGTGAGATTGATGCGTGCTAACGACTGCAGATACAGCCGGGACCAACGACTTAACGCGCTTTCCGAAGCACGGAGGAATAAGAATTACCTAGTAAATTTTTGGTTACCCATCCAATGATCAACCATTGCGAAAGTTGCTTAATTTTCACAGTCGCAGGACGAACGCACTAATCAAACGAAAACGAAATTCTATTTAGTCCGTCAGTTTCATCATCAGCCTCTTAATGTCCCCACTGCTGGGGCACAGGCCTTCCCCATGGATGGAATAGGGAGATTGGGCCAGGACCCACCACGCGGGCCTAGTGCGGATTGGCGGGTGCTAACGACTGCAGATGCAACCGAGACCAACGGCTTAACGTGCCTTCCGAAGTACGGAGGAACTCGAGTTATAATTTTTTGGTCACCCATCCAATGACCGACCACTGCGAAAGTTGCTTAACTACAACGATCGCAGCCGAACGCGCTAACCACCTGCGCCATCGAGCTCCTCTTTTCTTTTCTAAATAATAATTGTACAAAGACGTGACGTCACGCGTCCAATCAATAAATTTCTGTAATGTTTTGATTTTATGGGACTTAAGAAAAAGTACGTGTCCAATACTTTTTGATAATCTACCTGACGGACTTAGAAAAAAGAAGTAGTATCAAATATTTGGGTTTTCGGTATATAAATGCGTATTTATCAGGGAAGATTAGTGTATAATATACTAGCAGTGTCCCAAAGTTTCACCCGCGTAAATCGATTGAAGGACCTCGCGTCTACGCGTGTGTAATTTCTTCATAAATACTGAAAATATAAAAATAAGATTTACCGACTGATATATTTGAAGTCATGATCACGATCAGTCGGTAAATCTTATTTTCATTTTTTTTGCAGTCGGTTCCATTTTTATGAGAAAATATTTTACTCTTCCATTTTTACTGTAATACGAAATACGCTACTGGCTTTGATTATTTGATGCTACTGATTGTAAATTACACACGCGTAGACACGCGGTCTTCCAAAAGATCTACGCGGGTGAAACCATGGAACACTGCTAGTATATTATACATTACAATCTTCCCTGATAAAGACGCATTTATGTACCGAAAACCCCATCCAAATCGGATCAGTAGTTTTTGAGATAATTGCGGACAAATATACATACATAAAAACAAACGTACACGTACAAACACGTCAATATGAAAACATATTTTTTTGAAAATTTGTTAAAAGTAGTCATCTCATCATCCCTATTGCAAACCAAATTCTTAGTTTTTAGACATTCGCTGAATGTTTGCAACAATCTTTATTTTTGAAGTGAAAACTTCTTTAGCGGCGTTGTACACTTTTTTTTGTATGGGTAAAAAATGTTAAACTCGCGTCAGGTTAAACACGTGGACTGATCGCATCATGACACACAATAAAATTGGAAAAATTTTTACTTTCAATATATTTACTAAACTTTCAATATATTGGACGAAACATAGTAATATTTTATTTTACCGTATTACAATAATAAGTCTATCTAGGACGTCCACTTGGCAGCTTTATTGCCAAGAAAATGCATTTTTTTACAATAGATGTCGCTAGGTGCGCCGAAATGTGATCCATGTAAGTTGATTTCTTTACAATAAATGTCGCAAAGTGCGCTTAAACGTGATTCATGTCAGTTAATTTTTCTGAGAGATAAACGTTTTTTAATGTAATATATAAATTGTCATGTTTGTGTACGATAGCGCAATCAATAAATATTGTATTGTCAAATACATGATAGTAATAATTTTTGTTATTTTTAAAGCATGTAACTGCTTGATGTTTAAATCTAATGAAAATATAACTAGAAAGTAAAGTACATGATAGTACTTTTATACTGATATAATTAAAGCAATTCGTGCAAAATTATTCCCTAATCATCCCAAAATATCAAAAATGCACAACGTTAATATTCAAGTTTTCACTTCTGCCGGCACTCCCGGAGTGCAACCCGTCATTTTTTTAATAAATAATTGTTATAAATTCTATGAGAATAATAGAATTCGCATTATTTTCAGGATTATTTGGAGCGAATAGGAATGGATGTTAGGATGCAGTGCATACTCTGTTCCTGGGCTGGACCCAGGATCATACTCGAGTATCACATCAGAAAGGTAACGATAATACAACGCTGTTGAAATTATATTGTTACGATGGTGTTTGACATTATATGCCAGTTCACGCTTGACGGTTCTTTATTCATCACACACTTTACACTATACAAGTCTTTAAACAATCGCACTTGAACACTTTACTTGCACTTTGATCACCTTTGTATTCGTTCCGAAATCGCTGTTGAAACTCAACTAACTGCTGCGCGGCGCTGATCACACTTATATATGGCAATCGACGTATTCTAGAAAATTCCAGTTAACATTATTTGATTTCTTAGGTTTTCACGGAATCCACTCATTAAATAAAACTAGTTTAAACGGTATAGATGCACTGATTTATTTATTTATTGACGTTTAGCATCCTTTTCAAGATGCGTCGTCTGAATTACTTCTTAATCTTGAAAAGTATGCGAAACGTCAATAAATAAATAAAACAGTGCATCTATACCGTTGAAAATCGTTTTTTTAAGACCAGTTAAATTGAGAGTTTGACTAGTACCCGCGAGTGCGTAGTACCTACTTATACCTACGTAGGTAACGCGCATAAGTTGTAAACAAGTGCAGATGTCGTTGCACTTCCTCCCTTACGCCGCACCGCATAAAGCTCATATTAGAATGAGCCGCACCACTCGACCTTTATAGCGATCATTCACATCGCGACCCGCTGTGTTCTGGTAAAATCTGTCTCTAGTATTTTCTCGATTTTGGTTCGAGAGCGTTTGCGAAAACATGGAAGCATTACTCTCTAACAAAGGCCGCTTTAACGTGGTTCCAAACTCATACAACTTAACTTCAATACTAACGAGACAGGCACACAGACAAGGCAATATACTTTATCCAATGAAATGTCTGTGACTGAAATCGGCTATCCATTCATTGAGTAAGATAATGTTAAACGGAAATTCCAACCAATCCCATAATCGGCGTGTTGATCGCAGTTTTTTTGCCCCGCCCACTTGACCGCCGTTTGTGTGGAACCACATTTTAGCGCAGTTCTCATTCCAATTTATTTTTAATTCATCAATATCATACAAGTTTTCAACGCAAGTAATGTTAACAAGTGAAACAACATAATATGTAAAACTTTAACAATAAACCTTTTTGTATTACTCGAATTTCATTGGTAGACGAACGAAATAACTTAGTCTTAAGTAACCGCAGATCCCCTTACTACAAACGGCGAACTATAGCTCTATTTGGTTTTACTACACCGTACCTCAATCGGCAAAAACGGAACCCTTATAGGATCACTCGGTTGTTTGTCTGTCTGTCACAGTCGATTCGCTCGGATTCTAGTGGGCCGCTCAAGTTGAAATTTCGTACATACATGTATATCTGTGACCCAAATACTAAAGAATGAAGGAATTTGCTTACTGTACCGTATTTTATATTTTTACAAGTATAAAATAAATAGTTTTAAAGTTATTTAAGAAAATATATGAAAACACTGCATCTAAAAATAAAATAAAATATAGAACTTTGCATGTAGATCACAGGAAAACTAACTATAGATTATTAGAAGTTTATAGTATAATGTTACGGAACCCTGCGTGCGCGAGTCGGACAGGAACTTGGCCGGTATTTTTTAAATTACACATAAACTCTCAGTATAACTAAATTAAAGAGAAACAGTTTTTTTTCTTCAGGACCATCCAAATCAAATCCATAAACAAGACAAAAGCGAATGGAACATCACATACACTCTAGGAAACCTAGTTCAACAACAGCTATGGTTCAGTCAAGTCATAGAGTATGAGAATTCTCTATATGTTCTCAGCGCTAAATACGAAGACCCAGATTACTTTATGGCTGTGCTTACGGTGAGTAATAGTGATGTAACGAATGTCATTTGTGAACATTCGCGAATGCGAAAGCGAATATCTGGTACCGACATTCGCGAATGCGAACATATAGTTTTTGTTTAAAATTGGCGCCAATTGTTTTTGCGTGGTGGCAGTCTCGACCGATTATATTTTTTTTTTATTCAAGATGATGATTATTTAAACATTAAAAAGTTATGAAAAGACTGACAAATGTTTCATAGAAGAATATTTTTTAAGTTTTGTCAAAGATTATGATTAATATAAGTAAAAAGTGATAAAATTTTCTAAGAAGAGTTTGTTTTTGTTTGTTCAAAAATTGCATTATTTATTTTGTTTTTTCAGTTCTAATAAAAATTTAACTTCACTCACTGCTCAAAGTAAAGAAAATAAATAAATAATGCCAAATGCTAAATTCAAGACTAATAAGGTGATTACGGGGTTAAGTTAATTTTTCTTGCATTAAAAAACTTAAGAAATTAATGGATTTTGATTGTATGAACATACTATTATCATCAAATTGTTTTTTTCTAATATTCATATTCGCAAAACATTCGCTGAGATTTTGCGCATGCGAATGTGAATATGCGAATATTCGTTACATCACTATTGAGTAATTTTTATTTGTTATTTGTTTAAAAACACCTTTATTACAAAAGTGGTAAGAGCGTTTCTTTGATTAACAGTTCTTTGGCATTAATACATTTGTTATGATTACAATAAGGTTAATTACGTTTTTTAATCAATGTCAACAAGTGCTTTTGTTCTCTTAATAAAATACAAATATTATATAATATAATATTCCAAATGTAAATGGGTACAAATTTAATAGTAGGCTTGTTGAGAATATATCGATGTATCGATATATCGATATTTTTTGCCGATATATTTTGATTCGATATATCGATACATCGATACAAAATAACCAATATCGAAATTCGTATCAAAAACGATATTTTTTTAATTATTAGCGGCATATCACGTTCTAACTAAATTCGTATCTGGAAAAATCGTAACTGGATCTCAGATTAATGATATTCAACATATCTATGATCTGTGCTGTATTTAGTATTGTTAATTATTTGAAAATCTGTTTCGCTGGTGAATTGGTTGTGCTGATTTCCATTATATTCTGTGAAGTGTGTGACTGTCTAGTCTTGTTAACGAAAGAGACCCTGCAATTATTAACCTGAGAGGCCCTGCAATCATTTTCATTATTCGAAAATAGGGTCTATTTTTAGGGAGATAATTGTCGTTCCATTATTATTCCTCGTGTCATATTTCGTGAGCTACTGTACGATATTTTTGGGAAAATTGGTCCGATATATCGATGTTTTGTTCGGGATATATCGAAGCCGATATTGATATTTTTTAAAAGATCTATGTATCTATATATCGATATTTTTTTCAACTTTCGACATCCCTATTTAATAGTTCGTGTAAAGATTTGCAATAGTTCTTTAATTTATAAAGTAACGCTCAAAGACTGTAAGACAATAAACAGACGCCTTGCGTGAGAATGGCAAAATATTTCGAAGTTTTAGATAAACGATATTTAAGTCTGTCTGTCTGTCATTTATACTAACACGTCCAATTCGCTGAACAGATTTTGATTAATTTTTATATGGAGGTACAGGGAACTTTGGGGAAAGACAAAGCCTACTTTTGTCACGAAAATAAAAAATAGGATCTCACACCAATTAATCAGCCTCAAAGTAAGCACTGTAGGCTTGTGTTATGAGATACTAGGGTAACGGATAGAATACATATACTGATACATATATAAATATAGAAATACATATTATACATCCATGACTGAGGTCGTTTTCATCACACAAATATCTGCCCCCACCGAAATTCCAACCCGGGACCTCTCGAGCAAGCGACACCTTGGAACCCGGCTCACAAACCACTCAGCCACGGAAATCGTCAATCGTCGTACATTTCCTCCATGTAGCAAAGAACAGTCTGTTATTCGGTTGAAACCAAACACTTCAGTGGTTATATCCCAAGATGACGACATTCCTGGCCGAGTGGTTTATACGCCGAGTTTCATGGTGTCGCCCACTCCAGAGATCCCGGGTTCGAATCCCGGTGGGGCCATATGTTTGTGTGCTGAATATCAGCATTTGTATTCCAGTCATGGATGCTTCATATGTATTTCTATGTAAATATACTTATATAATATGTACAATATATGTATTCTATCCGTTACCCTAGTATCCCATAATACAAGCCTTACAGTGCTTACTTTTGGGCTAGGCTAATTGGTGTATGTTGGAAATATTTATTTATTTATTGTTTACAGATGCTCTCCGCAGATAATGCACCTAAAACTGCCACAGTAACGATATACAATAAAGTTTCCGGTGAACCGTACACTTGGTCCGGTAGTCTAGAACTACTTCCGCCTACTTTACCCTACTATGTGGACCGAGTCTGCTTAAAACTGGAAATATCCAGATTGAATTTATTACCCAATAGTGCTAACATAAAATTGTTGAATCGCGAACTAGTTCTTCGCTCACAGAATAAAGTTGTAGTCGGTCATCCCGAGTTGAATGACATACAAATAATTCTGTTTGTCAGTATTTTTTATTGATTTCCTTTTTTTATCGTTTTTTATTTTGTTTGTAGTAAGAACATAACTAAACTGGTTTAGTTATGTTGACTGTAGTTTTTCTATTTGTAAGCTTCACAATAGTCTGTCCTTATCGTGCTTTGTAAAGAATGAAATGAACAGATTGATGTCAAGTTTACAAATAGCAAACACGAATACCCAAGTGAAGTGTCGGCATAACAATTTCTTATTGTTATGATGTATTATAAATACCTACACTTGTATATGTTTTTTTAATTCAGCCTTATGACTATAACAATGTTTTTCCAACTGGAACCAAATACTACTTATCTGAGATTTTTTATTAGATATTTTACTTGTTATTCTGTATCTAGTTTTTTGATTATAAACTGAAGTCTTTAAGGTTTGTTCCTTAAATTTTATATAAAAAATATTTTGATCTTTGATATCTGACAGTGTAACTGTATTCAGAACTTAATAATTTTGTTCAAATAGGTGCAAAACCATCCTGAAACTTGAGTAATTTTGTGAAGAAAAATTTCGTCCATTGTCCTGTCCACATCCATATGTAAGATATTTATTAATGCACTTGTGTTCTTAATTGTTTTGTACCTACTTGTCATTTGCTAAACACTCGAATATTTCTTAACGTAAAACAAATATTTTAGGTTTTCATCCCGCCAAGCTTCTTGAGCAACGACCATAGACAAGGAATCCTGCGCAGTATCATTTTTACATACAAAAACGTCTACTGCGCAAGTTTATTTGTCTGTGGTTTGCTCAAGAAGTTTGCCGCTTCCTTTAAGTACAGATCTTTTCAAATTTAAGGAAACTGTTTGTTCATGGACACTTTGCAAAATTCTTATTATAATAAAAAAAATCTTCTCACAATTTATCTGTGTAATTTCTAAAATAATGTTTGAACTACTTAACAATCCTTGTAAGTAGTTTTTTTTTATTGGAAGCTTTTGTAAAGTTTTTCTTTTTCGTTTCTCGTTAATTGTTGATTATTATTAATGTTTGGAATCATGTGACTTTTATTTTGTTTGTTACATGAACTTATGATGCTCGTGTACAAATATGATTATGCTACAAGTAAACGTATATTGTTCCTCACGTCAGCATTCTTTATTGATATTCAACTTATTTCAATTTTGTACTTATATTTGTAACAAAATCTCGTTATATTATTGTTTTAAGCATTTAACGGCCAGATTTATAAATATTTTCATTCCCTATAAAGCAGCAAACTGTTGTCAAGCTTACAAATATAAATAGCCAAATGAAATACCGGCATAAATAATATTTTAATAAAAAACAATACACCTAGTCCAGGCATCAGTTAGGATTCAAACCTGCACCTTAAGCTGCTTTAAGTGCAATAGCATTAAAACAGAATAATTTGTTAGTTTAGCCCGGGCAGCATAAGGTGCAGATTCTAAACCTGTCTAATGCCAGAACAGAGTGGCATTTTTTCTAATAAAAATTCGTTTAGGTTTGTAAAAAAAATTGTGTTGTTTTTCAAGAATCATTTAATTTGTTGTCAACTTCACTTACCCTTAACATTTTGTTTGTCAATTTAACTTAGTACATAGGTCTCTGGTTCTTTATTGTCAAGTGGAAATCACTTATAAGGTAGGCTTCGCTCATACGCTTTGATTATAAACACGTATTGACTGCTCGAAAGCGCCTAAAAAAATATCTACTACATATGGTAGATAAGCTCGTCGCTATACACTCACACAATGACTGCTTTAATACAATCTGACATTAAAGTCACGCACACATTGCACGTAACAAAGCCGTTTTCTTTACTGATTTATTTTGGTTGGTTGCCCTATCTAGGCGTAAATAATTAAATAAGACATTTAGATACAAAACGTAACATTTAGGTAACAAATATGTGAATGAAAACTAGTTTTAAAGTACAAAATTTAATTAATAAGAATGCTGACATGACAACATAAGCACAGTAATATTGTTTCAAGTGAGATTATATTATGTAAGAGTACCCACCAAAATTGTTGCCTGCTAATTGTAAGTTCTTATTTAAGTACTTTTATTTCGTGTTTAAGTCTAACTGTAGAACATGCTAGACTATTTTATATAATTATGTTTTGTTTTCGGATCTCAATATTTGTTGATTTTTTAAAGTTGATTAAAAAGAGAACATACATTCATTAAATGTTGTTTTTATTTTTTTTTTCTATGATCTTTTTAAAACAAAAGTCACAAGTCTTTCTGACATAAATGCCAACAATTTTTTAATGGACTATTTTGCTAATGTATTTTTGTGATCGTAAATAAGAATAATGTTTGAACAACCTCATCAAGCTGCTCGACAGAAGATCCCAAAAGATGGGACTGGACCTAGGGGGCGACCAGAATGTTATTACGTAAGTTGAGACCTCTAATAGTATAGTTTTTATACAGAGATTTTCCATAAGGTTAATAGCTACACCATAGATAAATGAATGGTCTCGCATTGCTCGACTAGATACCGCCGGCGTACTTATCAAACGCGGCAACAAATACTACGCCGAAATCGGCATACCCGAGCCTTCACCGAACCAGTCACACTGACAGTTGTGTATGAGGTGTACGTACTAAATGTTTTATTAAAATTTGGTGTTAATCGAAAGTAAAATGCCAGTTTATGTAGAGTTTGGCATCTGAATGCGTATTTATCTGAGGAAGTTTTAGTATATAATTTACTAGCGTGTACAATTTCCAACAAGTAGCGTATTCTGTATGACACTAAAAATGTAAAAAAAAAAATAGAAATAGAAACAATCTCAAAAAAAATACCGACTGATATAACTTAAAGCCGATACTAAGGCATGTGTATAGTAGGGAGATCGAGTTATGATTGGCGATCTACTTCAAATACGAGTATATCACAGTCGGTAAATCTTATTTTTACACTTTAGTTTTTTTGAAGTCGGTTCTATTTTAAAAAATATTCTTGTGCCTTTATTGAACCTGTGCGCGCATTTATTAAAAATATTTGCGCAATATTAATTCAACCCCGCCGGAAATACTTATCGAGGCACGAAACGCGAGCGATAGGCTGTTGCCGTCACTTGATTTATAAACTTAAAGTAACTTGACATTTCTAAAGAGAGGTTCTGATGGATATCTTGGCCAAAAGTCAAAAGTATTGTCACCAACCGATTTTGAACTGTTTTTGAAGGTCGCTCCGGAAAGTCAGTATACTTGGCAACAAAGATAAGTTGAACTATATTATTATAACTGTTACTAACAATACCAGTTTGCTTTTTCCTCGCAATTGTGTTGAAAAACGTCGTATGCAGCTGGTGTGCATTGATCATTAAACACTCAGCGTCCTAACCGAGTTACAATAACATCTCGTATATAGTGACCAACTTATCATTTTCTGAAGAAGAAACCTACGCCTATTATGTGTACACAAAAATATTTAAATATTCGCATTTAATTAAGTGCATCTTCTTTAAGTATTTTATGAGCTACATTTATAACCTGTAACATATTAATTATAACCTACAATATTTTCCGTATTACTTGGGTAGCAAATGAGCGGCTGGCTACGCGATTTATGACATTCGATAGCATCCTTGCAAATTGACATACACACACTACAATAATGAGTTGCCGCTTAAAAGGAGCTATTGTTTTTTGACAGCGCGGTATCTAGTCGAGTGAAGCAAGACCAATCATTCATCTATGAGCTACACTTCTAAATAGGGCTTCACCGGGTAACATTGGTTATTGTTGAGTAAGTAAAGTACATGGAAAAAAATTGTATAAGCGACAGCCCTGCAATGTAGAAATATTGTTCTTAGTAATATTTAATGCTGAATGGCTGAAAATTTATAATTTCTCTGAAATAATTATGAAAACCCCTGCTACGTTAATGCCTTGCTATATTTGATAGAAGATATTGCCAATTATTTACAGAGCTATCAGTTTAGCATTTTCTTAGAATCTTTCCTCCCATTTCTCTAATTAACACTTCCCAAACAGTGTGTTTAAGCAAAAATAAATAAGTACAAATAATTCGTTGTCGACGGCCTGACAGGAAATCTGGGAATTTTGATTTTGTTCTATTGCAAAAATCAAACGAATTAATTTTCATGCAGCCTATCTCCAATCTAATCAGAAAAATAAAAACTCTTATTTAAAACCTTCAGTGATTTGTTATAATAAAAAATAGGGCCCAGTATTTCTCAGTTCTTAGGAGATTAGAATTAATCTTGTTCATTTCGATGTACTTACATAAATAATTTTTGTGTAGATTTATTGTTCATTTATTTTTGTGAAACGGAACATTTTCCTTTAGGAACAACCATGAAATCAATTTTTATACTTTTAAATTTTTGATTATTTCACGAGAGTTTTGGAGAAAAAAAGACCACGTAATAATTAATAAATAAATATTTTAACGTTGCGGGCTAGCTCGAAACAATTATACATGTTAAGGGCAGTTTCTTAGCCATGTTCTTTGTAATTGGCTTTTTGAAATGGTAATCGGTCACTATAGACTATGCTTGCAATAAAAAGCCAACACTCTCGACGTTGCCTACCCTGACCCAACCTTCCTCGTGGAGCCCCGAACCTTCGTTCAAAGGACAAATTTTCCTCCGAGGTGTTTCCATTGCGATATAATATGGGGTTATCCAACACAAAGAGGAGTTATAACCGGGTACTTTTAGGTCATCATCGCAAACACTTTATTCTCCATCATTAACTGGATGACTCGTCGGCTCATTTGTCCATAGAGCAACAATTTGCCACCTTATTTATTAAAAAAGTCGACAGTATATAGTCGGTAGAGGTTACTACAATAAACAGGAACTCCAAATCTGAGCTGAAAATCATCCAGTCCAATGTCTTGATTCTACTTAACGAGAGTAGGTCACAGCCGATCCTCCTCAGTTTGATAGATACATAAGTATAACTTTATTCGGACCAACATGCACAGAAAATTAGATCCGTCCTATACAACAATCAACAAACATATTAATGTGAAATGTTCGTGAGCGTATGAGCAGCAATAAGATTTTTTTGGTGCTGTGTATCTTAGTAGTTGATGAGTAAAGTACCAGGGTTTGTGCTCAAGTTATAGCGTTACGTTGCGTTAAGAGATATTCATACATAACTTTTTATGAATGAAATGAAATAATACTCTTTTCAAATTTAAAGTATAACTGTCATCTATACATATAATAAAATGGTAGGAAAGTCAAAACTGTAGATTGAATATTTTTTTTTAAATAATGCCTACTTGGGGTGTGGTGATCTACAATCGATACCGAAGCCAAAGATATTGGCGGAGCTATCCCAAAGGTGTGAGCAATATTCCACGCAAGACTGTACCTGATTTAGATATAGTATATAATATAACATACATGAATTGGATTAAATTATATTTTTTTAAAACATCTTGCATTTAGACGTCACGCGTATTAAATTCGACATTCCGTTACGTGAGATTCGTGAAAAAACTCCGCGCCCTCGAAGAGGAACAACGTAAGGGTGCAGAGAACAAACTCAAAGAACTCAAGGATAAACAGTACAGCGACTTCTTCATAAGATGCGATCGCAGGTGAGTGATCTAAATAGTATATCAGGAGGTTTATTATATTTTAATTATAAGCATTTAACTGCTAAAATTAATTATCAATCTTAACAAAATTTTACTAGAAAATAATGCACGCGGTCCAGGCATCAAACAAGTTATCCTCTGTCTGATTTACTTTCTGGTAGGATTTTATTTTTTTAATGAGTTTTTTTTTCTGAAAAGAATTCTACTCGCCGAAGGTATGAGACGACTCGAACAAGAGTCTCACAATCTGGGCGAATGAACTAACAGGTATACTGTATTTTTTGTTTTTCAAATAATTTATTAAAAAATATATTTATTTGTCAGGTCTTTAATAAACAACGTTGCCCGCCGAGTCGACTTATGCTTGCAGTCGTACCAGGAGGATTTGAAAGAAAAAAGGCAGAGGTAGAACTATTGATAGTTGCTTTATTAAAAAGTCCCTAACGAACAAATTTTCTATCTGCAACTTAAACTAAATCACCGATAAAGGCTGAAAGTACTTTAAGCGGGCACAGCCGGTTTCACTCCTAGATAATCACACTAATATTATAAAGGCGAAAGTTTGTGAGTGTGTATGTTTGTTACTTCTTCACGTCTAAACGGCTGGAGCGATTTTAATAAAATTTGGAATGGAGTTAGCTGACACCCTGGATTAACACATAGGCTACGTTTTACTATGGGAAAATATCCCTAACAAACCGCGGGTAACACCGCGGGGCACAGCTAGTTATTTATATATTTTAGTTATAAGGCCCATGCTTTTCCACCAATGCATTAGTTTTTGTGAGTACTCAAAATATGGCTCGCTCGGATTTTATACAAATGAAGCACATCATCTTCTTAATGGCTCCCTTACATTTAGTTGTTAGCGTGTATTCGGGTGCATGAAAGACATTACTCAAATTCGTGCATCTAAAGCAATATTTATACTGGAATACGGGCCGAAAGACGGTGTCGGGTAACCAAAACGAAAACTACTCAAATACTCGATGGCGGTACTCGACTCTATTTATTTACACTTAGTCGTTTTACCCGAATTCCATTGCCACTCGTTTTCGGGCTAACGTCCATGTGTAAACGCGTCATAGAGCTAGAGATCTGTGCACTCGACACTGAACTACTTCTCTCCAATCGCATCAGGCTAAAGGATCTGCTGTCAGTGGAAGAAGAAGCCAATGTCCGTAAGGTGGTGGAGCAAGCCCAGGCGGGCGCCGAAGCTCTATGGCAAGAGAAGAAAGAAAGATTGGCGTATTTGCTAGCTAAACGACAGAAGGAACACGAAGACAGATATAAGGATACGCCTCTGTGAGTACAATTCGCTTGAGTATTTTTATATACCAACTTGGTCCAAAAATAACGTCCTTAAAAAAGAAATGCGTTCATTTTAAACCATTCATAACTCTTGTTACAATTGGTAGCTGGAGTTTAATCGCCGGCTACAGGATTTCATGAAGTGGTATAGTATAACTGTGTATACAATTAACTAATCAGTAGGTCATAACTAACCCAAACTTTCATGATTTTTCCTACTTCATATGTAACCTTTATCCTTATACTATGAATAATTTAGTACCTACCTGTATGTCCAATCCAACTTATTGTGCATAATATTCGCTTCCTACTAAAGGTTCCAAATTTTAACTTTTATTCCTTCTGCAATCCCATGAATATTGAAGCTATTGTCAATACAACATAAGTCAATCTATTTGCCAAATGTCAAAATGAGTTCGCAGAAGCAGTAAAATTTGTGCGTACAGTTAATCCCTGAGTTTCTATAAAAAATAAGTGACTTTTGTCGCTTGTCCACAGTGCCGCCTTTGACCTTTTAGAGGCCAATATGCCCAGATATTGGGATAGTGGGGCCCCTATGACCCCCGTTTGGTGATTTAACAGGAACTAGGGACTTTGTATTTGATCTGAGGGGGGCCCCTATCGATCACGGAGCCCTGGACACTTGCCCATAGTGGCCTCTGAGAAAGAGGGGTCTGCTTGTCCATCTGCTGAAGCAGCCATCTTTGTATCAGGACAGGGCTCATTATCTCAGACTTTCTCCTGAAAATAACAAACAAAATGAATCATCTTAAACTTAAGTGTCTATTTATTTAAGCAAGTGGCAAGGTTCATGCTTTAATTTTTTGACTAAGTTACATGTAAATGGATTTGTATTTGTCATCAGTTCGAAATGCTCTCACGTACTACCGTGCATCTACAAGTTGCGTGCAATAGAAGCGCAAGAGATACAACTATACCAGATGAAAGAGAAGCAAGCAATGTTGATGGCAGAGAAGGAGTACGACAAAATGTGGCACGAGGTGGCTATGAAGGAATCCGATGCTTTGGTGAGATATACTTAATGATAATATACTAAAGAGAGATATAGAGATCGGTACCAGGTGATAGAGAAGCAGCCTATGTTGATGCCAGAGAAGGAGAACGCCAATATGTGGCACGAGGTGGCTATGAAGGAATCTAATGCTTTGGTGAAATATACTTAACGATAATATAGTATAGAGATATATATAGGTCTGTACCAGGTGAGAGAGAAGCAAGTTATGTTGATGGCAGAGAAGGAGTACTACAATATGTGGCACGAGGTGGATATGAAAGAAGATGAAGATGCTTTCGGTCTGGCATCGTAGTAGTTAAGCAACTTGCGAAATGGTCGGTCATAGGATGGGTGACCAAAAATTTATCTTATGATGGGAAAGATTCGTCAAACCGTTGGTCTCGGCTGCATCCAATCTCCCAATCGGTGGGGCCATGATTCCACATGATTCCATCCATATGGAAATCCTGTGCCTAGCAGTGGGGGCATTAATAGGCTGATGATGAAGATGTATGAAAAAACATATTACCAACTAACCTAACTATACAGGGTGTAAAAAATACTTTAACGAAGTCGAAGGCCACGTCTTTTCCACATGATGACGATATTTTTTTTCTTCTAGACCATAACTAGGAAAATGGTTATGTAGATATTGAAGGTCAAAGTCACAATTTTTTTTTCAAGATTTATACATTAATATTTTCAAAACTTTTTTTAGAAATTTTTTCATCGACGCACTTACACACAAGCACATTATTAGCGTAGCGCTACAGTAGCGCGCCGCGCTATACATTGCGTACTGTTTTTTTTTTAACTTAAAAATGCAAATGATTCCCACGTATAATATTTTGTAATATTACGTGTTTGGGTGTATAGAATGCGTCGTTTTAGTCTTTGTCATAGGTTTTTTTTACAGCCTGTATTAATCTGCTAGCGAAGAAGTTTTTTTTTTGTAGAACAGGTTTCATGTTTTATATTTACACAGGCTGCGCGCATGGAACAAGATGCAATAGACCGTTTGCGTCGAGACAGGGAGTGTAAAGAGTACTCGGACTATCAGGTGCAACAGAGGCGGATGCAACGCGAGAAAGAAAGAGAGATGCTCAAGCAAGAGACGCTCCGGTTCCGCGCTATATGGGATGAAGAAAATAGAAAGGAAGAAGAAGGTAAATATGGTAACGTTAGCAAAAAACCTGCAATTCAAATGACATAAATAAATATAAATATTTCCAACGCTAACACCAATTAGCCTAGCCCCAATGTAAGCATTGTAAGGATTTTGTTATGGGTTGCTAGGGTAACGGATAGAATACATATACTGATACATATTAAGGTATAAATTTTATTCAGAAATATATATAAAGATCCATGACTAAAGTACAACTGCTCGTATTCATCATACTAACATTTGACCTCACCGAGTCGAACCCGAGAGCTCTGAGTAGGCGACGCCTTGCAACGCGGTGTATATGTTATGGGCTAAGTGATAATTCGGGCATTATTCATAATGCCCGGGCAATATGAATGATGCCCAATAAGAGCGGGCAATGTGATTATAACCAATCAACTTATCACATTTCCCGGGCATTATGAATAATGCCCAGTGACTATAGGGCAGAGTGATGTAAAGCATGTTTAATACTTTCAAACGAATACTTAGTTAGATAGACCGAGCATTACAAGTAATGAAATCAATTATCGGGTAGAGTTATAATAAAAACATGTTTTATAGTTTAGTATTTATTTTTTAAATAATCAGACTTCGGTTTTACTTCGATCAATTTACGAAGGGCTACATTTAGAAACTATAGTCTATAGTAGTTTCAAACTTGTTTGAAAAATTCATTAAATCTGTATAATGTTCAGAATTTAAGGTTCCCTATTTTTTAGGATGCAAGGACTAGGGAAGTAAGAACCAGTACTTCTGCCTTATCTCCGGCGCTGCGGGAATAGCAGCCCTTTGCGTTAAAAAGTCACAAGCATCACTCCCCTTCACACCTTCGGCTTGTTCACAGCCTCAGGCACTACAGGTCGCACGATGCTTGCGGCTTTGTCACAGCAGGCGGGGGCTGCTCTCCCTCCGCGGCTCCGGGCTCTAAAAAACACTCTAGAGGTAGGGCAGACCAAGACCACGGCGTGTCGGGGTTGACCAAGTCGGTTCTGAATTAAAGACTGTTGTAAAGCCACATTTACCTTTTTTTCTTAGTGTTAAGCCCATACTATTTTTTATTTACCAAGATCTCAAAACAAACACAAAATGGCGAGACAACTGTCATTTTGATAATAAGTACCAACGTTTTGAATTTATTCATACTGCTCGGTCCAAGCGATAAATTCAAGCTATCTCAAACACTGACTTGTTATATGGACCACGAGCCGTCCGGCATTATTAATAATGCCCTGGCATTATGAATACTGCCCGCATTACCAGTCGATCTCAGAGGTCATCCTTATGATGATGATTGTAAGACGACATTTGTAGTAAAAACTTGTGAAGGCGACTAGGAACTAATATTATAAAGGCAAAAGTTTTTGAGTGTGCGAGTGTGTATGTTTGTTACTTCTTCACGTCCAAACGGCTGGAGCGATTTTAATAAAATTTGGTATGGAGTTAGCTGACACCCTGGATTAACACATAGGCTACGTTTGACTGCTGGAAAATATCCCTAATAAACCGCGGGTGACACCGCGGGGCACAGCTAGTTCTTTTATAATCAGCGGAACGTCAGCGTGCCGAGAAACGTATGGCGACAGGGCAAGAAAGAAAGCAGATGATTGAAGAGAGACAGGAGACGTTGAAGAAACAAAAGGCTGACGACAAACTTATAAATGACAATTGGGACTCATTAGCTACACAGAGATTAAACGAGGAACAAATGAAAATGGAACTAAGGAAGAAAAAGGAGGTAATTTTAAATAAAACTAGTTTTAACGGGTTAATGCACGAAACTTTATTTATTTATTGACGTTTCTCAGCCTTTTCAGGTCTGTATCGTCAGAATAATGATTTAAAGAAAAATAAAAGAAAAAAAATATTCTGACGATGCAGACCTGAAAAGGCTGCGAAACGTCAATAAATAAATAAAGTTTCGTGCATTAACCCGTTAAAACTAGTTTTATTTAACGTGTGATGTGCGTGAAAACCTAAGAAACAAATAGGAGGTAAATTTTATAGCTATTAACGGGATTATTACGACGACCTTGTTTTTTATGAGTCTCCGACATTTCAGCACTGTTGCAAGCGCCCATGATCACGGAGTAACTGAAGTAATTATGAGTAGATGTTATTGGCAGACATGTCGGTCTACCCTCTGACGTCGTCTTTTACTGCAATCGATATCCCTACCACTGGTCACATTCTCACTATTCACTCATACCTGTTCCCGACGCACAATACTCACAGTATCTATATTATTTGATTTTTGCGGTTTTTGCACAGACGTACCACTGGATTCCAGACACTTGACAATTAAAACCCATCCTCGCGATTGAATTTTTTTGGTTGGTTATTTGAATCGGTTCCCTGACCAATCTTGACATGTAGTGGCGTTCTGTCGAGATAATCTGTGGATTATGATGGTTGGATGGATTATATTATATATCTCAAAAGTTGGTTTTGTCATTTAGCCGAATTTTAGCTTAAGGACGGCAGATTAGAACAAAACAAAGGAGCGCGAAACAATCACGTATGTACAAGTTTTTGGCGCTAAAATCCTGCCGAATACTTTTGCCTAATATTCGGCTATTCGGTCAGGGGCCTCGCCAAATATTCGGTATTCGGTATACTGCCGAATATACTATTCGTTGCAAGTCTAATATGTAGTTAATTTGCGATATAGTCATTAATGGGGGTTAGTCATATTGCGACCTACATAATCTGTAGTACTAGTTTTGAGCTCACGAAAACTATCATAGTTTTCGTAATTGTAAATTATGTTTCTATGTCCATTTTGGTGAAAAGTAACCAATTATACTTAAAATTTAAGAAGACGCAAATGATTTAATGATAGAATTTAAACACTGTTTATTTTTATTGAAACGAAAACAATAAAATCAGTACCTAAGGGTACTAATGTACAAGTGCGAGCTCACGAAAACTATCATAGTTTTCGTAATTGTAAAACTCGTACTAAGGGTACTGAAATCGACTCGAGTGGATTATGTCTTTTATCACACTATGAAAAGTAGAGCAATGGGCAGAGTATAAATTCATACCTGACATTTGGTACTCAGTCGCTGGATAAAGGTTAAATGAAGATCAAACTAAAATGGTACTAATGAAAAAAAGAAGGTAGGTAAAGTATTGGATTTTACCAAATTTGTACTCTAATGTGAGAAGGACTAGGTCTTTTATTGTGCTTTAAAGAAGATATGTGTGCTTATTACGAAAGCAATTAGCAGACACAAACACGTATCTGACGCTGGACAGAGGTTATATGTACGAGAACATTGCTGCGTCCATGTCTCGCTCGTGAGACTCTCACAGACTCGTGGCCGTATTTACCTAAACTGCAGCGGCTCAATTTTTTAAAAGGGCTCTTAAACTAAAATGGAACTGAGGTAGAAAAAAACCAGCCAAGTGCGAGTCAGACTCGCACACAAAGTGTTCCTTATAAGTCGCTGCATGAAACTCTAGCGATGACCGTTATTGCGCAGAAGTTAAAATTAAGATGTGTTGGGGGGAAACGAGGTGCGCGGGCGGGCGTCATAGAGGTTAAGAATAGAGTGGGGAAGGCGGCTCTAAAAGTGTCCGTCTAGTAGAAAGAGAAAGAAGATGAGAGAGTAGGGACCGCCTAGCTATTTCTCTCTCTTGTGACCTTGTGGCGCATGCGCAGTCGTCTGTCCAATAGTTGGTCCAAGCATTGCATCGAAATACATGTAGTAAGATGCTTACGGTTGCCAATGCGATGCGCGATTAGAGAGAAAAGCTAGCTTTCTCTCTTCTTTCTCTTTCTATTAGATGGACACTTCCACTAGTAGTAGAGTCTATATCTCCCCTACTCTATTCTTATACATCTATGGTGGGCGTGCGTTGCGCCGATGAGGGTTATCGCGTATGAATCCGCCGCTAGAGGCGCTAGTGTAGCGTGAGGTCTCCGAAATGTGTTGACTACGCGGGTTTATTTCTTATTAAAATAACATTGTGAATATTTGGTAATAACTCGGCTTAATTATGGCAAATATGAGTAACGTGGCAATGAATGTCAGCTTTTTAAAAGTAAAGCTAAGAATAATTACCAAAAATTACTTATTATGTCGTCCCTTTTTCCGAACAAAACGGAACTGCGCAACACTGTGGCATGGCCGATTATGTTAAAGATACGGTTCTTTGTATTAAAATTAAATGATTTAAATGTAAACTTTGATTTCACGCGCGTATTAATAAACTTTACAATTCAGGACCTCACTCAACAGTGGCGCCATCTGGTGAGACAGAATACGGTAGCCCTTATTGGCTCTCCAGTCGTATCCATGCGCAGCTATTCCCTTCGCGTTTTGTTCAGAGCTAGAGTTCATGCCGGGACCTGTACCATTATCTATTCAACAGTAGGCACTACATACATAAATATCGAGCAAATTAAAGTTTTCACAGTAAAATTACATAGATAAAATTGTCCACTATAAACTGGACATAGGGGAGACCTATGTCCAGCAGTGGACGAACATGGGTTGATGATGATGAAACTGACACAAAACTACTCACTTAGTACGAATTTAGAGCAGCGGACATACAACGTTATCCGTGTACAATATAATAATGGATTGAGGATGTTGTTGGGGCTCCCACGCTACTGCAGTGCATCGGGTATATTCGCAGATACACACTTAAACGACTTTCCTTCAGTGATGCGCAAGAGAATTGCATCGTTGACGCACAGGGTTCATGAGAGCGCCAACAGTATTCTTGATATTATGGGGAAAAAACCGATTTGCCATTCTGAGGCACTGGATACAAATACACGTCCATGTGACCAGTGCCTCAGAGGGTATATTAAATAACTTTACTGTACATACTAGAACATAAAGTTATTCAAGGTTTGATTGTTACTAACATTTCTACGGATCTAGATCTGAAATAAAACACTATTATTATTATTATATTAAACGTGAGAGGAACCAAAACCAGGCATATAGGTTTTCCTGTAATCTACAAGCAAAGAGGTACATTGTGTATAGTTTTGTGGCAATAGACGGCCTATTTATACGATTGCGTGACCTGAATGAATGAATCTGTCAATTTATCCCAATAGAATGTGAATTTTGTGTCAATCGATATAAAGTTCAAAGTCACTTGAATAAATTTAACTGTTTTGGGTAACATTACCTGTGGGTGTCTGTTTTGTATTAAACTCTTACGGTGGGCCGATAACATGAAATACTTTATATACCTACTTATAAGCTAATATTTCACAGAGAGAACTTGATGAATGTAACAGAAAGATGGCAGAATTGAAACGTGAAATAGCTCTGTTAGACACCGCCGATGATGCTTTATTCCAACAAGATGCAACTTTGAGACAAGACGCTATGGACAGAAGGCGATGCGAATTCCGCCTTCGGTCGCAGAGGATCAATAAGGTAAAATAATTAACTATTTATATATTTACTAGCTTGTGCCTACAACTTCATAGTAAGATTTTGAGAAGCTTACTACAGAAACCTAAATTGTTTTCGAGATAACATGAGTACAAACACTACATGAGTGTCAAATTTCATCTAAACCAGCTCAGCCGTTTTTGCGCGATTAAATAAGAAATATCAAACATTCACATTTGTGAAATCTTTAAGTACAAACATTCCATAGGTAAGTAGATCAACTGTGTTTTTTTACAGGCTTATTCATTGTCAAATTTTGCCGGCTCACCTTTTAGGAAGTGGGGTTACACCCCGCTAGAAAACTAGGTATTTTTCTTAAAATGTTAGATTGCCCAGAGACAATTCGCATTCCCCTTGCGACGCTACTCAAACTAACATTATAATATAATGTAAGCCACTCGACCTCAGAGGTCGTCAATTAAATAATAACATAAAATAATCTACCTACATTGTTTTTGCCAAGGCTATTATGACAGTTTAGAGTAAACTTGCCATTAACTAGGTCTTAATGCCTTTTAAAAGGCGGCATTTTCAAAGCGGAAAAGGAAAATGTTTAAACATTCTCAAGTAAGTCTTACTGGTTCATAGCAAGCAGGATAAAATTTTCTTAAAATAAGTGCTTAAATTTCGGAAAAAAATCCATTCAAGAACTGGTGCAGTTTTAGTTGATGACCTCCTTGGTGGAATGATTTTTACCTACACCAGTTTCAAGGTATCGCCTATTCAGAGATTCCGGATTCCAACCAAATGTTTGTATTATGAATAAAAGCATTAGTAAGTACTCTCGTCATGGCTGCTAATATGTCATCATCATCATCAGCCTATTAATGTCCCCACTGCTGGGGCACAGGTCTTCCCTATGGATGGAATAGGGAGATTGGGCAATGACCCACCACGCGGGCCCAGTGCGGATTGGTGGGTGCTAACGACTGCAGATGCAGCCGGGACCAACGGCTTAACGTGCCTTCCGAAGCACGAAATATATGCTAATATGTATTTCTACAAAATTATTCCATCATTATAATATATTTCAATCCGCCACCCAACTAATTAGAAATGATATGGAAGCATTACTCTCTTACAAAGGCTGCTAAAACGTGGTCCCAAACTCATACAACTGAACTTCAATACTAACGCGACACGAACACAGACAAAACTAAATACTTTGACCAATCAAATATCTGCAAATGAATTCGGCTATCCATTCATTGGGTAAGTTAATGTTAAACGGAAATCCTAACCAATCCCATGATGGGCGTGTCGATCGCAGTTTTTTCGCCCCGCCCACTTGATAGCAGTTTGCGTAGAACCACTTTTTGGCGCAGTTCGTATTCCATAATATTTCTAATTCGTTGCCGCCACCCTAGTAACCCATAACTCAAGCCTTACAGTGCTTACATTAGGAGCTAGGCAGATTTGTTGAAGTGTAAGTTAATATTTAATTATTTCTCTGCCACTAAATTTAAGTTTAATTCCTTCTCCTTAGGAAGTCCGCCAAGCCATGTTAGACCAAATTAAAGAACGAGACAACTCTAGAGCAATTCTTAAACAGAAACTAGCGGAACAAGACGAATACCAAAGGCAACTGTTCTCACAACTGCAAGAACTGGTAGCTCATAAAAAACTGACTGATGCTCAACATAGGAAGGCACATCAGAACAACCTTTTGAAACAAATAGAGTACAACAAAATATTGAAGGTAAGAAAAAAACACGATTTAGAGTTCCGTACCTCAAATAAAAAAAAAATGGGTGCGTGTACTTATGTAGGCGCGTGAGAAGTTATCCTTCTTTGGCATCGTTTAAAATTAGTTTTTAATTGCATGCAAATAATTAATTACAATAAATTAATAAAAAGTCTGGAAAAGGACACAGTCGATAAAGTTCAGTTTTAATTTGAAAAAATAAATAAATAATCAAAATATTCAATTAAAATCGCTACTGAATATGATTTATTAGAACGTATGTGATTTGCACTTGTATGAAACTCAAACACGTATTCCGAATATACAAACTAGAAACATGTGGATAAATATTATAAATATGAATACCTATAACTGTTACTTTATTACAAAAAATAAAGATGTTTTTGGTTCTACTACACCAATGGTCAAGAGATGTGGCTGCGAAACGTCAATAAATAAATAAAGTTTCGTGCATTAACCCGTGAAAAACTAGTTTTAATGTTAGACGTCCTATTAACAATGCTTTTAATTATAAATACGCAAGGAGTATAGCCAAGCACGGTGGCGGTAACATTAAAGTCTGGGGGTGTTTTTCCGAATGTGAAGTTGGACCCGTTTGGAAGATTGAAGATACAATGGATCAATGGCAATACAAAAATATCTTAGAGAACACAATGATTCCCTACTCGGACGATCATTTACCTGTATCCTTGATCTTTCAGCATGACAATGACCCTAAACATACAGCCAATAGCGTCAAATGTTTCCTTAGCGAACAGCGTATATCCGTTTTAGACTGGCCACCAAATGGTCCGGGCTTAAACCCGATAGAAAATCTCTAGTATATTGTTTAAAATAAAGTCTCAAACAAACGTAACACCAGTCAAAACGAACTTTATGAAGCATTTGTCGAAGCATGGAATTCAATCCCTTTAGGAAAATGTATGAAATTGATTGAATCAATGCCACGTCGTTACAGTGCTGTTATTGGAAATAAGGGATACGCCACTAAATATTAATTATAACTATTGATATGCAGGGCATCCTAGCCAAACCCCTATCGGAGGAGGCTGGTGTGCTTTGCAATATGGTAGCAAAAACTTAATGTAATAACTAGCTGACCCAGCGAACTAATAAAAATAAGGGCAGATGGTAGATGAGAAAATTTAGGGTTCTTTAATACCACATAATAAAAAAATAAATATTGTCCAAAAAAAATTTAACGGGTGTGTAACGTAGTGTTCTATCAATTTCCTGGGATAACATTCCTCCTAACCCATATGAGAACACTACGTTACATTACCCAATAGTTTGAATTTTGGCGCGAAGGCGCATTGTAGGTTTCAGAACACTACGTTACAGGTGGGCATCCATTATCACTTAAGGATATGAAAAATAGATAGTAGCCGATTCTCAGACCCACGGAATATGCATATAAAATTTCATAAAAATCGGCCAGGCCGTTTCGGAGGAGAATAGTGACTAACATTGTGACACGAAAATTTTATATATAAGACTAGCTGACCCAGCGAACTTCGTATCGCCCTAAAAAAATAGGGGTTGTCCAGCGGAAAAAATTGTGAATCTAAACCATTCTCAGATCCCCTTGAACACACACAAAAAATTTCATCAAAATCGGTCCAGTCGTTTAAGAGAAGTTCAGTGAGATACACACTCACAGAAGAATTATATATATAAAGATTTAATAATAAATTTTAAGAAAATTGTATGGTTAGGTTACGATGGGGCTGGTATGGAGACAATTTGGTCCGTAAGTCCCTTAAAACAATAAAAAGAAAAAAAACTTGGTAGGCTGCAGATAGTAGCTATTTCGTTAATAACAATACTAATTACTAATACTTAAAAAAATATTGTTATTTATATTATTATTGTTCATACCTTAAAACTGATTTAAATGTTTGCCCGTAATGTAATATTGAAACTGCACTTGCGTTATGGGATTTCTATTGTGTTACTAACAAATGATAAATCGTTGAACATATTGCTGGCCTATTTGTTGTATAATTTCAAAATAAAAACGATTGCGGTGAAGTATCGTACATAATGTCAAGCACCGTTGGTAGTGTTTCTTATTATACGACCATCCCTGTATATATATATATATAGTCGTGTGACGCTCGTGACGCATTTCCGTTTCATCTTTTCCGAAAAGAAGTTTCACTTCAACAAGGGCGGATCCAGCTTTGGGGCCAGGGGGGGTCATATAGTCGTTGGTACCTATATTAAATATTGAAAGTACCTAAATAAAACCCCCCTGGGCTGGGTACAGGTGCACCCAGCCCAGGGGGGGGGTCATGACCCCCATGAACCCCCCCCCCCCCGCCCCTGGATCCCCCCTTGCACTTCAAAATTCTATTGAATTTATTAAGATTTTGATGAGTCTATTGTTATAATTTTTTATTATTTTTAAAGCATGTAACTGCTTGATGTTTAAATCTAAAGAAAATATAACTAGAAAAAATTCCACGCGGACCAGGCAGCAGACGGGACTCGAACCCGCACCCTTCGCAATCCGGGCGAATGCACTGACCAATTATGCTACCGCGGCCCTCCTGCCCTATTGCCTGGTCCGCGTGGAATTTTTTCTAGTTATATTTTCTTTAGATTTAAACATCAAGCAGTTACATGCTTTAAAAATAATAAAAAATTATAACTATAATTGCTATTTCTTCTTTCAAATGTTTAATACTTGTAAAAGTATTCATTTGACATTGTGGGTTTACCTATAATGCGAAGAGATGGCGCTGCCTTGCAGCTTAAGAATAGCTAGAAAGAATTTCGACGCGGTCCGTGAGGGCCGCGGTAGCATAATTGGTCAGTGCATTCGCCCGGATTGCGAAGGGTGCGGGTTCGAGTCCCGTCTGCTGCCTGGTCCGCGTGGAATTTTTTCTAGTTATATTTTCTTTAGAGTCTATTGTTATTGTAATAGTAAATAAAAGTGTAATATTAAATGATTTTTCGATAATTTGTACCAAATTACAACATTAGACAGAAATCGAATCCCCCTCTCCCTTTGACGAATCCCAGCTTATTCTTGTAATTACATTAAAAAGTGGATCTCTTAATAGGAGAGGGCGCGTCAAGAGGAATTGCATCAGATAAAGAAAGCTCAAATCGCCACTGAAGAGTACCAGCAGGATATCAACAGGATGCTGTGTCGGTAAGTTAATTGGGTGTCGATTCTTAGGGTTCCGCACCACCTCAAAAGGAAATAAAGGAATTGTTATAGGGTCATTATGTTGTCCGTTTGTCTGTCTCTTAGTGTTCTCATCAATAAAACTCGTGTCTCTACAATTACGCCGCGATGTGCCATCATTAAGCACATTGTAACGACTATACCACGGCGTGTGTTCTGAGGAGTTATTCTACCTTATCCCTCCATCACCTTTTCTTCAGAGGACCACTCTGGCCTACGTTGCTACTGATTTACTGTGGCCGCTATTCCTACACGAACAAAGAAATTTAGTGACTCATTTCTTTGTCGTACTATTCGTAAGTGGATTTTTTTGTCCGCGCACGTGTTACATCCTTCCTACAATCTGGGGTCCTTTAAGAGAGCCGCCAAGTACCATTTTTGCAGGCCGGCAAGATGAGAATAGATGGTGTGGCAGTTTATAACGAAAGAAACAAAGTTTAACGTACACGCATATAAAACAAAACTGTAATTACGACATTCACACATAAACAATGACACAATACATCGCCAAATCTTGCACACATGTATCGTTTTTATGTCGAATTTGTATGCCCAACTCGATAGAGGGGAAAGCTCTATATACCCTTATGGTATTCCGCCGCGCTCGATAAATACAATAATCCTCTAGGTCTTTCCTACTACTTAGATCGGCCGTTGTAAAAATTGCTTATACCGAACGAACCACTGCGCGCCGTCAGGTTATGAGGCTTACTAACTGAAAAATAAAAATGACAAAAGATACCACGTAGGTAATTAAATTATAAACCTATAATGTATGAAAAAAAAACATGATTCTTGTTTATTGTTACAGACCATTCTTTAGCGACGAACTGCATCCATTCATGAAGCAAATGGCAAAAGGCTTGAAGATTTCCGAAAAATGCCCCTGCTCGAAGCCGGATTATTGCAAATGAGCACTTATTTCAGTTTGTTACAGTCGATATTTGGATAAATTGTTTGTTTATACTTTCAAGGATTTTTCAATTACCTATTTCATAGTACATCCAATTTGAATTAAGATATATTAATTTGCAATCATTATCATCATCATCAGCCTAATGTCCCCACTGCTGGGGCACAGGCCTTCCCTATGGATGAAATAGGGAGATTGGGCCATGACCCACCCGGGCCCAGTGCGGATTGGTGGATGTTAACGACTGCAGATGCAGCCGGGACCAACGGCTTAACGTGCCTTTCGAAGCACGGAGGAGCTCGAGATAGTAAAGTTTTGGTCACCTATCCAATGACCGACCACTGCGAAAGGTGCTTAACTTCAACGATCGCAGCCGAACGCACGAACCACTTGCGCCATCGAGCTCCTCATTAATTTGTAATAAACCAATAATATACTGATTTATTGATCGCTGCGACAACAGTTTGAAGGATTAAAAAAATATTAGCTTCTATTTGCCCCCAAAAAGATTCTTAACGTTATTAATAAGTAATATAGATTACAATGCTGCCCACCATACACTAAAGTGCAGTAACAGCAAAATCACGATTTCGAGTAAAACGCATTTAAAGTTAAGAATTGATTTTAAAAAATCAACAGAATGTATAAGCAAAAAAATTTGAATGCAGAAAGGTTGTAAAGGCATAGGTTCACACGTTAAAGCAATAAAAAAAAATATATCTTAATAACTGAATTTATTATGGCCATTTATTCTTTTTGGTGCCTATTACTGCATAGCCTTTTTTGTAAAAAATACCATTTTAAACTTAGTAAAATGCAGCAAAAAGCCCTATTACTGCGTTTGGATCAGTTATTTTGTCAAGAAACCCAACTAACATGCAGTAAGGTCAAAAAAATACTGCATTTTAGTTAGTTTTTTAAGAAAAAAGTGTTCAATTTACTAGTGCAGTAAGAAAAATAGCTAGTTCACATTTTAAAGACCGTTTATTTCTTATTATTTAATCACAATAATTCAACTCACTTATGTAAAATTTACATATCAAAAATAAAAAAAACCATCTAACTACATTAACTGCACTTTAGCTAGGAATAATCATATCTGTGTCATTATGCTATCCAAACTAATCTGCAGTAATGCTGTATTTTACTGCGTGTTAGTCAGTTTATAATGATAAAAGAATGTTAAGTATTCACAACTAAAATGCGACAAGCTTTGATTTTACTGCATTTTAGTTGGGAGTTCGTGACAATAAATTGTATTTTCTTAATTTGCAGTAAAAATAGCTTGTATGGCGGTAAATTTTACTGCGTATTAATTTTTTTTTTAATTTTTTTCCAGAAATATAAAACTATCTAAAGAACTGTAAAATTATATTGCTTACTGCATTTTAGTTATGAAACCTTAAAATTTAATCTGCAGTATAATTTATACTGTATTTTAGTTGGGAAATCACGCCAAATTGTTAATTTTTTTCGTTTGCAGTAAGTGAAAACTGTTAAATAAAAACCATTCTAATAGTCTTAGAAATAAGTAAGTTAATTCAATAGAAAGCTTAAGAAACCCTTAAGCTTGAAAATTTGTCTTTTGACTTTTTAATAAACACTGAAGAAAAGAAAAATTGTCTTTTGACTTTTTAATAAACACTGCTATATTTTTTATTATTTTAAAGCATGTAACTGCTTGATGTTTAAATCTAAAGAAAATATAACTAGAAAAAAGTCCACGCGGACCAGGCAGCAGACGGGACTCGAACCCGCACCCTTCGCAATCCGGGCGAATGCACTGCCCAATTTTTTTTAGTTATATTTTGATGCAGACCTGAAAAGGCTGCGAAACGTCAATAAATAAATAAAGTTTCGTGCATTAACCCGTAAAAACTAGTTTTATTTAATGAGTGATGTGCGTGAAAACCTAAGAAACAAATAGTTATATTTTCTTTAGATTTAAACCCTTTGCTATTAAGTGTGTGGAAGAAGTTGGACATGTCCGTAAAATTATCAGCAAAATTAAATTATAGTAAATTTAATGCATAAACCTTTAAGCTAATAATTTTGCTTGGATAGCCGAAAGGTGTACGATTCCAAACCAACCTCCTATTTAGGTAGTTATTTTTCTAACAAGAAAACATCTTCAGCATAAAAAAAAACCTCAAGCAGTTAAATGTTCAAAATAGAATAATAACAAGACTTTTTTTGATGTTTAAAACTCTCAGTCACAGTCGTAACCACAGACTATGACGTCACTGGCATAATCTGGCATTGACATTGCATCTAACGACTTATCTCAAGCGCGTGTTTATACATTATCCTTCTTCCAGTGGACAAAATAATCACTTCCTAATTTTTATGCGCGCCGCGTGCTGTAGATTTGTGCGATAAATAAGAACCATCATACAGTCAAGCACATAGTAATGTCTCAAATCGTACTGGCTATCTAAAATTACCTTTAAAAGGACAATGTTAAAATTGGCCTAAGAACCAACACCAATTTGGCATTTATGATAATTCTTAGTATATTTTTTGCGATAATTATCAGTATTTAGATTGTGACGGACACTTCCAGTTAAGTAAGCTAAATTAAAAAGTTAAAAAATAATCTGAGACAATAAATACCATTTTATGTGTTTAATCTATGTCAACGCTGCAAATAAAACTCTTTCTTCCTAATAACGGCACTTCACTTGGCTATTCGTATTTGTTATTTTAAAACATGACATCAGTCTGTCCTTTTCATTCTTATTAAGCATGACAAGGACAAACTGTTGTCAAGTGAAGGGCCGACATAAAACTCGTTACTCTGTGGTTCTGGTGCATGCAATTGCATTCGTAGTAATCTGTGGCATTCGTGCATTCCAAACCATGTTGATTCCAAAGAGTAGTTTAATAAACCGGAAAGTGCATTCTCGTTTCGGATTACCTGTTCTGTGTGTTTATTTGCGATTGTTTTTCCTTTAACTATTTCGGCTATCTAATATGCCATCGATGTTACCAAAGAGCACTGATACACATTCACGCTGCATATTTACACAATATACCTACATGTCATATACAAATAAATACAATAAACAATATGATACAACTATGTGAAAAATAGTCAGTAAATAAGAAGTAAAACTACAGTTTTTATTTTATTCATGATTCCTACCTAACCAAGTTTTTCCTAATAGTTATTCTTTAAAATCGCACCGAATAAAATGAATTAACTAGGTGTAATTATTAATTCACTTCATACTGACTTTATACTAAATTCATAGGTTGACCTATGTTTCATTGAATATTAAACATAACCTCAAAAAAAATTTAGTTTTCCTAATAATTGAAGTTCTCAGAAGTGTCCGTCAATAATCTTTGTTTTTACAGTCATTTACTTACGATTTTGAACCTAGAAAATAATATTTCGTGATTGTTGGTTCTTAGGCGAACTATGTATGGACGCTGAACAATGTCCTTTGGTGTGTTTTTATTTAATGAAACCACGATGCAAGTGAAACTTTTAAAATAATTATAAAATAAGTCATTTCTTGGCTAGGACTCGAACCCGGGTCGCCCGCGTAGAGGTTTGCTAGGTCGCCAAACCTAATAGCCGGACAGAACAGCCAATTTCGCCGGATACTACTTTTTTTTTTTTTAGTTTTTACACACACCAATTAGAAAATGCGTTGCGCATACCCCACCGCCTTGGGAGTGCGGCGAGGTTATGTGGGACTCCTACCCTCCTCCTCTCGCACACCCGCCCAACCAGTCCAAGGGCTGGCTCGGCGGCTGCTCGAGAGGAAGGGGGCCCTACCCACTAAAAACCTGACGATGCCCCTCATCTCACCGATGGGCCGAGGCCTCCCCTGGGACGGGATCCACCATCAGGCGGTACCCCCCTCGATGAGGCAGCGGCACTGTGTGAGGCCATGGGAACCCTTACGGATACATCCACAACCACAGCCTCAAAGTAAGCGCACTGTAAGGCTTGTGTTATGGGATACTAGGGTAACGGATAGAATACTTAAACTGTACATATATAAGTATATTTTTATATAAAATATACACATCCATAACTGAAGTACAAATGCTCGTATTCATCACACAAACATCTGCCCCTACCGAGATTCGAACCCGGGACCTCTCGAGTCGGCGTCACCATGAAACCCGGCGTACAAACCACTCAGCCACGGAGGTCGTCGTTATTTGGGTAAAAAGACCGGACACCCTACATTATTGTGGATTTTGTGGCTCAGTAATATTAGGAGGAGCTCGATGGCGCAGTCATGTCAGTCATTAAGTGAAAATTCACTAAAAAGTGACGTCACGAGCCCCTACTCCCAAACTTTGACGCGCTATAACTTTGTCATTTTTTGGTTGATTGCCCTAAGAAAAAATACGTGTCCATTATTTTTTGATCATCTAACTGACGGACTAAATAGAATTTCGTTTACTGTACCCTGTCATCACCCCTATTATTTCACATTTTCTATTTTCCAGCTTTGCATTTTTACTTTGGTATGTCTAGAACCTAGAACGCGACGCTTCATTCTACGTTTCAACCGCGACCCATAAACACCATACACTATTTCAAGTAAGTTTTAGTCAAATAAGTTTCGTGTGCCAATAAACGGTATCTCTGTAAAATCCATTTTTCCTTTCTTATTGTACGTAGCTACACACATCACGTACTGTGGCGATGTTATAACATTATAAAAATATGAAATGAATAGAAGAATATAATATGAAACCATTTGGTTTCACTTTAACATGTCAAAAAAAGGCGTCCCTACTTTTATTGAACTGAATGGCAATCTATACTAATGATATCTGTTGTTCTCATAATCTTTTCTCATAAATTCTTGTATTCACTGTTACATCAGTTATCCCAGGTTTTGTCTATGTAAATAGGATGTCATGCAAGTATATGGCCGCCCTGATGGTAAGCAGCCACTATAAACGCTGGGACATTAATAGGCTGATGATGATGATGATGATAAACGCTGAATCCCTCGCGAAACCCCATATGGAGTCCTTTTTTTATTATGCAGGCAGAACCTCTATTTACAGACGTTGGCGCCCTTAAGGGGCACACCAACGAATGGACCTCACACTTAGCCTCTCGCAAGTTTCTCGGGTGCGAAACGGAAAAACCGTTAAGCAGTAGCGCTTAGGGCATATTAAAAAACTGCGAAAACCCTCTACGCTGTTAAGTGCGGAACTGCGAGATCCCCGTTGAGGGTCTTCACCTCGTCTCCGCACCCAAAAGCCTCCCGGCCAAACCAGGGCTCCACGGCAGAGATCACTCGGGGTATATCGGGTGATTCCGCAGACGTGCGCAGGACTGCCCGCGCTGGGAACTAAGTATGGTCCTATTGCCCAACGCACCGCTCCCCGTCCGCTGCGGAAGGATTGCCTAGGCGTTCCCTTAGCAGGCCATTCCGCTGCCCTTTCATAAGACCTTATTCACCCACTTACATAAATTTTACTTCACATCCGAGGCATGCAGTAATGTAAACAATAAATTAAATTACCTTATTGTAAGTACATGAACAATTGTTCATTTAGCTTTGTTAATCAGCACTTGTTGCAATTCTGATTCACTTCTCTACGTGACTGTACCAAGTTTCATTCATTCCAAAATTTTCCTCAAATCATTAATTCAATATGCCTGTAACGCTATAAACTTAACATAGGTAAAGTTACTCATGTCTGGCGTAAACAAATATAAATCTTATAACTATCTTACTCATATCGTTTTAGTTTCCTCAAGATGTCAACTTGAATATAAAAGCCCGTCGGTGTTCTGTAAACCTCATTCTAACTACAGCGGCGAAAAATGTTTAACCTACTTATCGTAGTAAGTCTTGTGGCTTTGGTCAAAAGTCACGATTTGACTGTTGGCTCAGACGTAGCTGGAAGCAACAAAATCTTTGATGAGGACCGGTACGTAAATCCAGCGATATGGAAACAAATCCAGAATGTAACAATCAACGCTACCGTCAATCAGGTCATAAGTAAAGTAGTCATAACAGACATGAGACCAGAAAAGGATGGAGAAGTGAAGATTCTTGAAGGTGGAGAAGGACAGGACAACATCACACTCGAGCTGAAAAGTCCTACTGCTTTAAGAGGGTTCGCTTTTCACATTGAGGCGTATTCTGCTCCTAAAGATAAAGTGAAAGTTACAGCAACCACTCCAAAGGTTGAGGAACCTCTTCATCCAGGTCAGACCAGGCAGAGACGAGACCACCAAGATGACAAAACCGACGAAGTAAATTTCAAAGCACCAGCAACAACATTTAAAGGCACTACTTATTCAGATGCATCTCTTACACATCCCTTAGCTACAGCAGATACTAAGATAAATGATGAAAACAAAAAATTAAACTCCAATCCCGAACATGTACGTCCTGCAAGAGATGTCAATTACGACAAAGCGACGGAATCAGCAAAAGATAAGCAGACTTTGACTCATTCTCATCCGATTTCAACGTTGAGACAAGATTCAACGGAAAATCCCCATCAAATATCTACTGCTAAAAGCCTTATAGAAATATCCGGAAATAATGATGGAAGACGCGCCGTAAGAGATTCGGAAACGCATGGAGTAAAAGATGGCCAAACTTTAACTCATCCTATTTCAACTTTCAAACAAGCTTCAACGGAAAATCCCCATCAACTATCTTCTGCTAAAAGCCTTATAGAAGAATCCAGAAATAATGATGGAAAACGCGCCGTAAGAGATTCGGAAACGCATGGAGTAAAAGAAGGCCAAACTTTAAGTCATCCAATTTCAACTTTGAAACAAGCTTCGACGGAATATCCACATCAAATATCTACTGCTAAAAGCCCCATAGACCAATCCAGAAATGTTGATGGAAAACGAGCAGTAAGAGATACCGAAACGGATGAAGAAGAAAGTGATGATTCCGTACAAACAAGGAGAGATGGGAGCTACGACCACGATTCTCATGTACCAACAACGGTATCAACGGAAAATCATGAATTCAAAAGGCAAGTAAGCCAACATACTGAAAATAATAGGAATTCCACCAGGACTACCAATAATGGAGCGTACGTGCCACCTGCGGGTTTCGCCAATTCTGATCCAACAAACGTTAAGTCAAGAGTAGTTCGCGATACCGAAGAAAAGAAAGTTAATTCACCTCCTTTTGTTACAAGCAATGATGCTAAATCTACCCTACCATCCACCTCGAATACTAATAATCAGAATTCTGGGGGCAAAATTATTCCCGGACAAAGACCATACAGGCAAACAAATACAGCTACCCCTAGAAATTTGACTCCACTCCCATACGCAACATCATCAACTACAGAAAAGTCTCAAAACAAAAGAGATACTGCACCAAAAACATCTGACAAGAATCAAGCAAAGGCACAAGTAAATTTGAGAAATACTCCACGACCGTTACGTCAAAGGCCTAAGGTGGCTGAAAAAGACCCCAAGCAGGTAAATAAACAAGCACCAGTAAGCACTCATTAAGACTAAATTATAGCACGCATTGTAAGTGATTTTTGAAGTTATATAAGTACCTAATTATTGTTTAGTTTGTTATGTGATGATGGTATCTGTAAGCCATAAACCGTCTTGATTTCTGCTATTGATTTTGTCAATGTTTTTAGCTTAACATTCGTGTAATATTTTAATGTTTATTTTTGTAATTATTATATAAAACATTGCATTGTTTACTTAGTTAAAATAAGTAATTACGAAATAAAAAATGTATTACAAAAAAATGTTTCGACTCTAAATAGAAATATTGATATCACAACATCTTATACTTATCTTATGCAAACGTTAATACAATAACCTATGGATTGTGGCTTGAACACAAATTAGATTTTCATAAATATTATTCACAACAGGTAGTAACATACACCAATTTTATTTAAGCAATTTTCTGTTACGAGTATATTCCCTTTTGAAAGAAATAAGAATTATTTTGTTAAATACATTATAAATGAACTGCACTAACTTTTATAGCTAAATGCATTTGATTATATGTTACTCTACGGCCATAGTACATACAATTGTACTTTTTAGGGGTCATTTTCTAAAGGGTCCTTTACAAGTAGTAAATAAACACCAAAAAACTGCTAACCTAACCTTTAACCTATTTCATAAGGCAGGAGGTTCCAAATTTGACTATGTTTTTTAAAGAATTATTTTAATATTTTCCCTATTTCAGTACAGTAAGCTCAAATTTAATCCAACTGACACCTTACTTTAAGTAACAACTAATTAAAAAAATGGATTATGGCCTCATTGTATTAAGGAATTTTACACTTAAGGCAGATTAACACAGTAGCGAGTTAAAATCAGACTCTTAAGCAGTAAACATACAACTGTGGAACGTTGTGCGTTAATATAGTCATTAATAGATAATAAGTATGAAGTAATGGAAGGTGTAGCTTAAATTTTCTTTAATTTAAACGTAAACTGCGTCAAAGGCTTAATATTAATTCTATATCTTAATTTAAAAAAAAACGTTAATTACATAAAATAATTAGGAAATCTAAGTACGGTCCAGCTACGGAACCAGCGAGCGTAAAATGATGAGATCTGCGGGCACACAGTTGGGTCCAGGGGACCAATTGGGCTTTATGTTATTAATAGCTCTCTCAACCTCAGCAACAGAGAAATCGTCTTCTACAATATGCGCATATATAGGGACAGATATGATAGGTGCTGGTTCTACTGCCGGTTCCATGCGTAACAAGCGGCGACTCATAACTGGACCCCGCAGTTAAGCCTGGAGGGTGAGAGGTAGATCGAGGAGTTGGTATACCTGGTAGTTACGGGAGCTGGTCGGCTGGATAGCCGCTTGGACTGCGGTCCGTGAGACTAATCAGGTGAGGCTGTGAACGGATAAGCCCAGGATCGGCTAAAGCGGGTGCGGACTGGGCTGCTGGTCGGAGGCGGGGTGGTTTGACCTATGCCACGCTTGCGTGAGTGCACGTCAAAGTATACCCGCAACGACTAGCGACCCTCAGGCTGCTTGCCGCTTGCCTAATGCACCACGCGATTACCTGCGTCGCGAGGGTTTGTTAACAGCACACCGACGTGGCATTGGTCATTGTCGTGGATATAATGCAGTTTTTCTCCCCGTCATCGAAAAAAAAAGGTTCTACTGCTGGTTGGTCACTTAGGAAGTAGTCAGCGAACGCATTTGCAGCATCGGCACCAGAACACTGATTACAGAGGCATGAGATCTTAAGTTATGGAAATAGTGCCAAAAACTGCGAGGTACCTCCAATGTATAATTTATACGCAATTGAAATCCTTATCTAAAGCGTGGCTCGAAGATTTGAAAACTGCGTATATTAAATGACACTTAGATTGCCTTCAAGTTCGATGAGGACGCGTTTTCTTACCAATATCCCTAATAATGTCCGCCATAAACCAAACTGGATGTATCCTTGAGGCAGTTTTAGACCTATGTTTTTTTTTAAACCAGTTGGTGGAATACGTTATAGATGGAATCATAAAAGTATTCTTATGCATCGAGTATATCCTGAGACTGGAGAATAGAGTTTCAATCCAAATGATCTACCAAACGGCACAGAAATCCTTGATCAACCTTATTAAAGTTTCAGTCCTTGCTATTAACGATATTGCTAGGTTGAATGGACCCGCGTAGAAACTTATTCTTAATAGTAATGGCAACGTTAACAGGAGGATGATACAAATCTGGACGTACGAGACCTCCACATTCGGAATTAGTTACAGTAACGGCACTAACGCACTCCTGTGTTAATACAATATCAAGTTTACTACCGTGAGAATTAATAATTTCATCTCTATCTATTAGATAACAAAATGATACAAAATAGCAATAATAATAATAAATTTAATAAAATACATTAATTTAACAATTTAACACAAACTGAAAAACTATATAGCTTAGCCTACTTACCCACATAAATAAATTCTTTACAAAATAAAAAATGTATCACCCCCAGCGCCGCCATCAGGAATTGTGCCCAATAGGCTGGCAGCATTGCCGCGTTGGTTGGCAAGGGCCAAGGCTGATCCGTTCACCAAGATAGCTGCCAGCCTTTTGAACACTAGTCACTTCAGTGAGCCTCTTTGACAATTCCTAAAAAAGGGAACGACGCTTGGACCCCATATGGACCATTGGACACAAATATGTAAAATCAGCAAGCCATTTTAATAGGTAACATTTGACTGTCAGTTATATATCTGCATGGTGAGGTGACCTGCTTAAAAACATTGATTTAAGTGAATGAATCGATACGGACTTGAAACATATGTAAATTTTAAAAAAATCATCAGGCGAATCCCTATTCCATTATTATTTTTCTTTCCTAAATTTAAGGATCAAAATAAGACCAGTAATATTAACATAGTATTATTAAGTTTAGTTATTTAAACATCTAGCAGTTAAATGCTTAAAAAATAAATAAAATCATAGTATTATTACTTATTATATTTAAAAAAATGCATTTATTCAGTTAAACTATTAGAACTGTTATTAGTATTGTCATCTTCATCACTGCTGTCAGCACTCAGAGATATTATTAATTCATTTTCAATAATATTGTTTATTCTCACATCTCGTTCAAAATCTTGTAAAATTATTTTCTTTGTTTTCTCTACGACTTTTCTCCAGTCTTCTGTAGTGACTTCTGCACACGCAGTTTGTAGCAGAGTCATCATTTTAGCAGTATTGAAGGGTGGTTCAGTATTGTTCTACGCTGCATGACCCTTTATTTTTTATAGTTAGTTAAAATAATAATAAATATAATTATATATTATTATAATCACAACGTGGTTATTAATTTATGGTGATATTTCTTCACAAGTAATCATTGCATTCAATTCAACTTATCAGCTTTTGATTTTTAGAGTAACATCCCTAGTGTTTAAAAAGAAAAAGGGTTAACTGATGCAACATTGTAGCGACGTTCAGTTCTTTAGATCAGAAATTGTTTATTATGTTTAGAATGGTTTAGTACTGAATGCAAATCGCAAAAATTCTCGTATCGGTCATTATTACAATAAATATGTAATTGGAATTGAAAAAAGTGAAGCAATTGTGCAGTTACAAGGTTAAGTTGTTGAATTTTGATGAATTTTCAAATGTTACCTATTAAAATGGCCTAACTATAGTTCTCATTGAGAGCTGAATATTTGCGCCGTTTGGAGAACTCGGCAGAGGCCGCCGCCGCGCCTGAAGCTAGGGAGATACTACCTATATGGCACGGATCAAGCATATCCACGCAGGTTGCGTCCCATACAAGAGGACGACCCTGCTTCTAAGGAATGAGCGTCATCCCATCAGGTCTCTTGACATCGTCGCGGAAGATGCCATTAGGTCAAGGACCGTTGGTTCGTTGATAGCGACAAGAGCCCTGCGGATGACATCATTGATGCAGGCGTGGCGGGAGACCCGGCCAGTTATCCTTTGGCATGAGAGGCCATGGTGTCCCAGATCACCGAAGCGAGTACTGCAACGACAGCGATGGGGAAGATTAGTCTTGACACCAATATAAGCGATATCGCAAGAGACAGAGTACTCTTGGCAAGCAAAGTCCCGATATTGGCTGAAGGTAAAGCTTGCAGCCAGTAACCAGACTGCCTGAAATACCGCTAGAAGGCGAGCACGCTCAGTGGCGCTTTCAGAGGATGCTAAAAGATCACTCTGAATACGCAAACAGAGCGGCTCGTCTCACTACCTCTGAAACGGTGGATCCACGCCCGGGCATACCCTAGACCATGAGTTTCTGGCCTCTGCAAGGTGAGCCAACTCCACTACACCCAAAGAAGGACATAATATTTAGAGTTCGGCTGTACCGTATGCAGAAGACAGAAAAGCGGGAAGGGCAATATGGGAAATATGAAGGGTAACTATACCTCCAAAACGAACAGGGAGAAAGTCCTGCTTCCAAGCATTATCGCTAAAAGAGCAATTTAGAATTTTGGAGAGTGTCTCTCTGACTGAACTGTAAATAATTGACAGTTGTCCTGGAAAAACCCAAAAAGAGTACTATGTAAAAAATATGTGAATTTTGGGGCGAAAGCGCAAAAACGAATCAATTATAAGGCCATGTGGGGATTAAATTTTAACATTTTTTCGGCGTTTTTAACTTAAATTAACACATATCATTCAGGCACATAAATATTATGATGCATTACTTCGTATTTGTTCTTACCAATTATTTTCTATGTTTATGATGACATACAGCTAAATCACCTTGCCTTGCACCGTAAAATGTAGATATAATAACAAATGATTTATATTTTACTGGCATAAAGCATTAATTCTATATTTTATGGTAACTGCATGTCATCATTAACATAAAAAATTAATTAGTAAGATCAAGAACAAATACCAGCAAGAAGCCTTTATAAAGTATTATGATTTATGGAGCAACTACATTGTCAACTATTATTTCGTGCATGGCTTCAACAATGTCCCCAAGTAACAAAATGTGATCTTGTCCACTACAAGACCGGAGCCAGGTCTATCTAAAACAGGCTAGTAAAAGTTTATAACCACGGAAAAGGGCCCATTTTATATACATACTTTTGCTAATAAAACACTCACAGTAGACTTGGCGAGTACCACTTGGACCAATAATACACTTATAGTTAGACTCCGGAGAACTATTTGTTCCCGCGAAACTCACTATGAGCATTTAATACCTCGACATACCTGTAGTCTACTTGGCACCTTTGGAGAGACTGTAACACCGCCCAGGTCTCCATCGAATCGAAAGCTTTCTCAATAGTCCACGAACGCCAAGCAAAATGGCAGATTATACTCTTTGGTCTTCTGTATAACCTGCCGCAGCATATGAATATGGTCTATGGTACTGAAGCCTTTTCGGAAACCGGCTTGTTCGGGAGGTTGGAAGTCATCAAACTTGCGTGCGAGACGATTCGTAATGACTCTCAAAAACAACTTATAAACATGGCTAAGAAGCGAGATTGGTCGTTAGTTTTTCAAGAGTGCTTTGTCACCTTTCTTGAAGAACAGGACAACCTCACTTCTGGCCCATGCTTTTGGCGTTCTGCCTTCGAGGATGATGGAATTGAAAAGCCTCTGGAGGACTTAAAGTATCGGTTTACCGCCCGCTTTCAGAAGTTCTGCTGTGATTCCATCATCGTCCGCAGCCTTGTTGTTTTTAAGTTGTTTGAGAGCCATAGTAATCTCATACAGGCTGACATCTGGGATATCTTCAGTGTAGTGTCGAGTAAGCTTGAAATCTGGGGTCTCTAGCCTTGCTTTTAACAAGTGCTCTTGTGGAATATAGCTGTCCATAGAAACTCTCAATCTCCCTCAGGATTTCAGCCTTAGACGAAATGATGCTACCGCTGTCAGTCTTCAGCTTCGTCAGTTGGCTTTGCCCAATAGACAGATCTCTCGCGAACACTTTGGGAGCCTTTGTTGCGCTCGATAGCCTGTTTGATACAATACGTATTAAATCGACGAAGATCGCCCGTCAAGGACTGTGATATCTGTCTATTTAGCCGCCGGTACTGACTTGCATCGCCTGAATTCTGTAGTCTCATTTCGTTCCGCTGTTTCATGAGTAGGAGAGTTTTGTCAGAAAGTTTCTTAATTTTGGTAAAAAATACTTGGACCCTACCGTACGGACAGTATACGCCACCGTGTTGTTCAGATCGTCCACATCTAAGCTGTTCTCAAGGGATTTGAAGCGGTTTTGAAGTTCGAGTTGAAAGCTCTCGGGGTTCTGGAGTTGTGTAGGCATTGGTCGGAGCGTCGACTTCATCATTCGAACTCTTTCGAGATAAATGTTGATATTCAATGTGCCTTGTACTAACCGGTGATCACTTCCCGTTTTAACGGCGTTGATTACAGACACATCATTGAATATTAGCTTTTTCGTCGACATGATAAAGTCGATCTCGTTTCGGACTTTGCCGTCCGGACTCATCCAGGTCCATTTTCGATTTTGGGGTTTCCTGAAGAAGGAGTTCATCATATAGAGGTTCTCCCTCTCCATAAAATCAACCAAAATCTGTCCTCTGGGGTTCCATTGTCCAACTCGAAATTGCCCCACACTCTTTTTTTATGTTTAATAGGCTAGGCGTTTGACCACAATCTCGCGTGATAGAAAGCGATGATGAGGCCTAGGATGGTACACGCCTGCCTAGAAGATGCCTGTTCACTCTGGCCTTGAAGATGTCCAGATTATATTGGCCCGGGAAAACATACCTCGGTAAGGAGTTCCACTCCCTAGCCGTTCGCATAGTGAAATTTGTTAAAATAATTGCATGAAGAAGTTGTGATTTAAATTGCCTAGAGAAATACACATACCTACACATGAACACAGTCATGTTTAAAACTTGCTAAATTCTGTAATTTTACCGTCTGAGAGTCTTTTCTTTTAGCAAAGATCGATTTTTTATGATTCTTTTGACCTCGCTGCAGTCGACCGGGCTAAGATTCATTGAGTTTTCTGTGGGGTGGACTACAGGGCGGCCGCACGCGCAGTTAGCTGGTCCGGCACCTCCAGTATCGCAGCCCTGTTGCTGTGAGTTGGGCTGCCCGATGGAGACAAAATTAACATTAAATGAATTTGCAACTAGTTTAGGGTCTGATTGTATTACTTTATTTATACTTATTTAATTTTATATTACATTTCGAATTTCTATTTATTTTATTATTGTTCTCTCGTTAATAACGTGCCACATACTATGCTTTATTATTGGAGCTGTTTATTCTATTTTTATAATGCATTCTTTTTGAATATATTATTATTGTTTTTGATATTTTTTCATATTGCCTGTAATGCTTCTGTAAGATGGGATTGTTAGATTTCGAAGAAATTATTTTTAGCAACCTTGTATTTTTACATGATTTTTTTAAACCTACAGTTAACCAATATTTTTTTAGATTTGATTTTAATTTAATTTTACGTTAGCTAATATTTTCATTAAAATATCATGAAATATATTGTAGTCTTCATTAATGTTTTTGCTAGGATTTATTAATTCATTCGCGCTCAATGATTGAAACCTGGGATTTAAAATCCATTAGGTATTTCTTTTTTTTTGAACAATCGTTTTTCTAAAACCCATTCGGTTTGCTTTATTTGTGTTTGTCTTTTTATGTGGATGGTTGTTCCTGCATGATCTGAAAAACCATGCTCCTCAACACCCGTATACAAATATTCATTATTAAAGTTAGTAAAAATATGGTCTAGACATGAGTTTTTGCGAGTTGGTTTGTTTATATGCTGGATTAATTTATGCTCTAACATTAAATCAAGAAAATGTGATGTTTTTTTGTTCTTTTGTAGTACATTTATATTAAAATCTCCACCCAAAATAATTTTATATTTAGTAAATTTATTATTAATAAAACTCAAAATAAGTTTTAACAGTACATAAAAAAACACTGTCCTCTCTTCCATTCCAATACAATAACACAGTCAAAGTATTTTCTTTACAAAGCTCGACCGCTGTTACTTCTAACACGTATTCAATCGACATGTTCTTAATATCTATTATATCCTTATATTGACGTGACAACGTCGCTGGGAGTCACTTATGAAAAAGTGTAACGCTCGGTAACGTTACGATGAGTCTCTCGTGTTAAGTTTAAGTTTACATGTACAATGTTTTAGTAAACAAAATATATTTCTATAGTTAAAATTTGTGCAATTCTTATTTTCATTCAATTCCTTGTTCCTATTGTGCAATTTAATTATATTCATATCAATAAATATTCTACCGAGAAAAAGACGTTGTCACGTAAAATCTTCGCCCGTAAAACCGACTTTACAGGCAACCATTTTTTTTTAAATGATTTTGTAGCAATATGCAAAGGCCACCTCCTGTGTGTTTTTTCCTACAAAATGACGATGCAATCATATATCCGGTGAAAGAGAGCAATTTGAGCTTTTCAACTGTCAACCATGTCTCAGATAAACAAAGGATATTATATTCAGGATTACTTACAGAAAAGCTTCTAATATATCTTGTTTATTGTATATACTCTGCATGTTTTGGTAAAGTATTCTAATTAAATCTTTGTTTTCGAAAGGAATAATTATTATCAAAGCTTTTACGGGGATTCGGGGTTGATTCAGTTAATTTTCCTTGATTTTCCTTATTCATAGATGTGTTGATAAGAGTCTCTGCGTTAGGATTTTCGTTAAAATTAAATATTTTTCCACCTACATATAGTTGGTTGTTACGTAGTACAGCATGTTACCCTCTCTGACGAGCCAGGAACATTTCCTCCCGCATTGCCTTCCTTCTTAATAGGGTAGTTTTATCTAGAAATTCTGATACCGACAGCCCACTTCGTTTCAAAGAGTAACTATTTTCAATTGTTTATTTTACTATTCTTCTACTTATGAATTCTATTACTAGAGGCCGGTTAGCATTTTTATTGTAGCGACCTATTCTGGATATATCTTCAATATATCCAGTCAGATCCACGCCCAGCAAGTCCCAAAATAATCCGTGTATCCGGTCCAATAAGTAGTTCTCAGGTTCCATATAATATTTAGCTAATCCGTAAAGTACTATTTTTTTAGGATCATTTTCAGGATACTTATTTTCTTTACTTAACACAGTCTTGGTTCTCAATTCTTCCAATTGTTTTTTTAACAAACAGTTTTCTTTTTGCAGATAATCTATTTTTAGTATTGATTTCTTGTATTTTTAAGATTCGGTTCCTATTTTGTTCGCTTAAATTATTAATTTGTTGTTTCGATTCTTTTTTTAACAGTTCAATTGCTTGCTTTACTTCTTCCTAAATAATATTTCGTAACTACGATATTATAACATTTATATTATTTTCTTCGAGTTTTTGAGAACCTCGCTTACACTTTGCAGCGTAAGTTCAGGCCTATTAGTAATTCGCATATTATTAACAGTGTCGTCACCCAGGAACGTTGTATTTTCGGAGTTCACACTGCATAAACTGTCATTTATTTGAACAACCGAACATTTTCTGACGGTTATATTGTTAACTTCAGGTGATTTACATTGTTCCTCAACAATTGTATGTAACAATATATGTTACAATCTTTAGATCTTACTGGTGTATTTTCGTTACCAATTTTCGGCATCTTGCAATAACAAGCCTGGCATTTCCATCTCTGTTTGTGTTCCAGTGTCATTATATTGTAGAAGCGCTGGCTAGACACATTGGCGCATTCAAGGTCATATTTCTTTTGGCAGTACGAACAAGTAAGAAATTCTCTTTTAGGTATTTTTTTTGTTGCAACCCGCGCATGTTGGAGACATTCTTCATTCATATTTTCTTTTAGTATATTATAAATTTCGTTTCTATTTATTTTATTTCCCAAAGCAAAATGACATTTATCATCGACAGCAAAGCTTAATCCAAAGTTTAATTCAATTGAGTAGAAAAGCAATGATAAGTTTAGCTTGTTGTTGTTACTTGGTGCTGCAATTCACCACTAGATGGCGTTCGGTGTAATTAAGTTTCTCAAGTCGTCAAAAGTTGAAATTTTTAGTGATATTTTTATTTTTATTTCCAAGCAAAATTTGTTCTGTACACACAGATTTGTTTTTATGTGCACGAAAATAAAGATCATATTTTTTCATTTTTTTTGCTTCATTTGACGGTATTTTCTGCCGCACTAAGAAAATTATAATTGTTATTGTAGACACTTAAAGCTCACAGAATCACTAAAAACACTTGTATAGGCTTATTACTGGCTTACATTTACTTTGCACTTAAACTTTCTTTAATATTCAGAGAAATATAATTTTAAAAGTATAAATAGTACAGAGCTAACTGTTTATGTTGCGCGTAGCGCCCTCTCTCCGATCCAAATCGTTCAGTTGTTTCCGAGCCTATTCAATACTTACAAACAAACAAAGAAACAATCAAATCTTTCCACTTGATTATATTAGTAAAATGAAATAATAAAAAATATTACTAAAAACAATATTTTATTTTTTACCTACTGAAAATGGAAATATTGATATCACAATATCATATACTTACTACATGCAATATTAAACGTTAATACAATAATATATGGATTGGAATGGCTTGAACATAAATTAGATTTTCATAAAACAATATTATTCACAACAGGTTTTTATTTATTTATTTGACAATGATTGAGCACACTGTTCAACTTGCACTTAAAAGTGCCTTTGGGCCCCCTTGCATCAAAGTTCTTTAATCAAAATTTAAATCTAATAATATTATATAATAATAATAAAATATTTATTATGAACTTGAACAAAATAATTCTTAAACTATTATTTGTTCATTGATACCCGCTTTAATCTCGAAGACTGTCGCGGGTATCAGCGCCCAAACTACAAAGGGACCAGATATTTCTTACAATCTGGTCACTTTTTAATCATTTGACTTTAGAAATATTACTGAAACAGATGGAATCATGTGTTAAAATGTTTCAAGCTATAATTAGAATGACGAATTTTGGTGAAGTTAACTTAACACTCACCAAATAACTGGAAGGTAAATTGTCTAACTTTTCTTTCACTTTTCCATTAAAAGTTAAATAAAAGTGTTAATGTGATATGTCATTTTTACAACTATGAAATAAAAGGGGTGGCAAGAAACAAAAAAAAATATACAATCAGTCTATTCTATAGTTTAGCATTTTCGTTACACCTAGGATATACTAGTAATTATTAATACCTTGTATCAGAAATTGGAGCTGTCATGTTTAAAGCCTTTTGGAATATATTCAACTGATGGAATGAAGATGACAATTATTTTTTAAACTTACATACAATTATTTCTAATAAATTCATTCATGAAATAAACATATTTCAAAACAAAAATTTTTTTTTTTTGTTAGAATTGTGTCTAGTAGCATTTGACAAACTTTTATTTATAACGATTACAAATATTGCTTTTTCAAAATTATCTTATGAAGACTTCATATATGAAAAACCAATCTAGAAATATCAGTTTCATTAATTATAATTGATTTGTACTTTATAAAGTATAGTGCAGCTAGTCATATGTAATGAGGGAATATATGTTAATATCTTCGGGAATGTTACTGCGCCCCTTTAGAGATTCAAGTTCGATCACAGTCAAACATCCAATGACTTCTGCACCACATGTCTTTAGAAGCTGTACTGCAGCATTGATGGACCCACCTGTTGCTATTAAATCGTCCACAATAAGGCACTTGAGACCAGGGTGAACAGTCTTCTGTATTTCTAATACATCCTGAAAAATATAATATTTGAACTTAAATGAACACATACCATTACAGGAAAAAAATATGCATTACTTCATATTTGTTCTTACTAATTATTTTTTATGTTTATGATGTCGTACAGCTAAATCACCTTGCCTTGCACTATAAAATGTAGAGATAATAAATAAATGATGATAATTCATATTTAACTGGCAAAAAGCATTAATTCTATATTTTATGGTAACTGCATGTCATCATAAAAAAATAATTAGTAAGATCAAGAACAAATATCAACAAGAAGCCTTTTAAAGTTTTATAATTTTTGGAGTAACATACTGTTTATGCAGAATAAAAAAATACATACACTGGTTATTTCATAATCATCGGAGGAACCATCACAAGAGGATACCATTGAGGAGCTCAATGCAAGTAGTTAGTGCATTGGCTGCGATCATTGAAGTTATGCAACTTTCGCAGTGGTAGGTCATTACATAGGTGACCAAGAATTTACTATCATGATCTCATCTTTGGTTCAGAAGGCAAGTTAAGCCATTGGTCCCAGCTGCATCTACAGGTGTTAGCACACACCAATCTGCACTAGACCAATCATAGGGAAGGCCTATTTCCGAGCATTAATAGGCTGATGATGATAATTAACTAAAAGGATAAACAACTAAGACCGAAACTAAAAATAACTTTACTTTGAATTAAAGTTGAAAACAGTATAACTGACTTACAGAACCATATTCCAAGTCGTATTTGTATGCTACTACTTCGCCGGGCAACTTCCCCTTCTTGCGCACTGGAATACATCCCAAACCGAGTTCTGCGGCTAGTGAGAAAGAGAACAGAAAACCTCTGGATTCCAGACCGACGATAGCTTCTACTTCAGGATATCTCTCCTTCACAGCCTGCACCAACAGACTTTGCAGTAATCTACAAGTACTACCATCTGATATAGCAGAAAATATATCCCTGGAAAATGTTATTATAGGATGCTTACATAATTTATTTTATTTGTAAACATTTACTTATGTTAAATAACCTTTAAAAGTATACTACATAACCTTAAAAAATGTTAAAAAAGTAATAAACTGTAGATTACCAAAATAAGATTCCTTGTTTAGGAAAGTTCGGGAAACTTTTAATTCTTTTCTTCAATTCGCTTATGCCTTTTTCGTAATCAGAGGTCATTTTAATGACAAATATAATTGATAAATTGATAAATGATCACACAAAATAGAAAGAAGTCTTCTGTAAATTCTTCATGCACATCTTCTACAGTAAAAAAATGAAAATTATTTAAGGGACCCGTTCTGCGTTAAATGATAAATAAATATTTTGCTTTCTAATAAATGCGGCTATTTTAAACTATTAAATAACCTTAAAAACAGACAAGACAGCTGCAAGAAAATTATATATTTTTTTTCCATACTTATTCGAAGGCAAAGGATATAATTTGGTACATACAGCTTAGTTTTATGTTACAGGTAGCGGCACGTAACGCTAGCGCTGAACAAAACGCGGAGGGGTTAATAAAGTACTTAATTAATAATAGATAAATAATGTTGATTGTAATATTTTAGTGTAAATCTAAAAAAAAAAAACAAATTAAGTCTAGCGGTATACCTAGCACATAGACGTGATAACACAAATATATTAAATATTTGTAAAATTATAAACAGTTTATATAAAATAATAAATAGCTATATGTGCCATTTCCTGACAGTTATCCATTTTGTTAAATATTATATAATTCATATACTTTCAAATGAAAAACAATAAAGAATAAGACTTTATGGACTTCCAATCCATTTTCTTCGTAAAACACAAAAAAAAAAACAAATACTGTACTGTCATTTTCAGTGATGCCAGATTGGGATATTAATCTGCTATTCTGGTCGAACATTTAAGTTTGGGGGAGATTGGAAATTACAAAAGCTTAAAACTAGGTACTTAATGTCTAAAAACGTAAACACCAAAAATAGAAACTATACTTCTATAAAATTTGGAATGGAATAATAATCACACGATCACCCATACACACATGGTGATGAGACGTGTTTGTCGTCTGTCCGATACCTCCACACCACAGATTTTGCTATCGAAGCGAAGATTTTGCTATCAAAAAGGTTTTCCTAAAAAAGGTTTCTAATGGTATCGATTCCGACATGATTCTTTGAATCTAAACTTAAACTTGACATCAGTCTGTCGTTGTCGTTCTCTATACAGAATGAAAAAAAGATACTAATGTTCAGTTCAGATTCAAGTTTAGAGAATCATGCCGGAATCGACACCAATATAACCTATGAATAGTGAACAGAGTACCTGTGGAAGTAAAATTATTTTCTTAGTAATTATTGCAACTTCAATAATGTGAAAACAAAAATCTGATTACCATTTTTATATTATAAGTCCATGTTTAAGTTTCAGTTATTCTAATTTGAAATGGTAAATTTCAAGAAAGATTTTATTAAAACTAAAAACTGTTTCACAGAATACTGAAATTATAGGACTGTTTTATTTTATCATTGGCAGCACTTCAGAATTTTCCATATTATGGATGCATGGACTTGTCCTTTACATATAATAGTCAGAATGCCGTTGAATTAAACAGTTTAGCATGAAATTCAGAAGATCTACTGATAAGATTGCAAATATTAAACCATTTTCGTGGTCAATGTATTTCATTTTTTTAAAACGTATTTTGTTTTTATATTTGAAATGAAAAGAAACTGTATTTAAATTTAATTAATCTTTCAATAAAAGGTTTTGTTATATTTTAAGTGAGCTTTTTAAATAAACACACTTAATTAAAAAGAAAACTTTTGTTTTGCTAAAATAAGATTTGGCGTTTTTTTTTCTTAAAGGTCTTCATCTAGTGTAAATTATGAAACCACTTCTGGCAAGCTTCGTCATTTCGACAAACATATGTCAATGTCAAAAAGTTCAAAAAAAGGAGTAACGTATTTAAAACCAAAACAAAAACATATTTTTTAAATTTTACGTAATTATCTTACGTACCTTACCTACCTTAATCTCACAATATTTCTAAGCGTTTACATTTTAACTTTATCTAACTACTACGATAATTATATGTGCGACGTGCGACTGTTCTTTTCCCGCGTTTTACAAGATGTTAAAACATAGTTTAACTTAAAGTTAAAATGATGTCGATGATAGATTTGGAAAAGATAATTGCTGATAAAAGACTACAGATCGAGGAGGAGAAAACTCTTCTGAACCTTTCATCGTCAGGAACAGATTGTGATGTAAGTTTACTGAAAGTTTTAAGCTTCACTTGTTGATTCACATTGCAGATTGCAGACTTCAGTATCGATTTTATGTACGTCTGTAGTCGACTAGCCGTCAAGCATAGCTTAGTGCGCTTGTGTCGCTGATAGAACAGACACTCATCTTATTCCTGTCCGGATTTTGTAAATTAAGTAAACAAACATTATATTAAATTATCCCGTGTTATTAGAAGTTATATTTTTTTTGATGCTATTGTTAAACTGTATGTAATCATTTAGTTTGGTGCCCAGGAGTTTCTTACCGGTCTCCAATTAAACTTTTACTGGGTAAGCAATCAACTTTAGACACATTTGTTTAATCTATTAATAAATAATTCAGTATTTACTCAAATAATTCTAAAATATTCTAAGCACTAAAATCTACAAAGATGAAACTGGATTGTAATTTCAATTTGCAGTAAATTATGTTAAAATAAAGAATAGTAATTTTTGATACTGAACTTATTGAAAAAAAAAAACATATTTTTATACATAAATTATGGCTTGGTCTGAAACGTCAGTGTAGGTACTTATTTTTTCAGTTGATAGGTAATTATTAACTGTTAAATAAGTTTTTATTCTTTTAAAATCTTGAAACAATAAACATAGTTTTAATTAATGTTAAAAAATATATCTATACTTGAGTATATTTAATTTACTATAATCCTTTATATTTATTTGTGTCTAATAACTCCTATAAAATAGTAATCATATAACATGAAATCTACTAAAATTTCATACCTAATTAATTTCTATTTCGTAATGTATCTGTTTCCTTGTTGGTCATTAATTGAAGTTAATATTATCAAAACCAATATAATTTATTACTTAAGTAAAATATTATGATAGTCAATATATTTTTTCTTCTAGACTCTATCCGTTGTAGTCACTCACGCCTGTGTTACCTTTAATAAATAATAATAATGAAAATAGTAGCTTCTCAGGAGATAGATATATTTATAATATGTGTTTGTTAAATACTACTAAGATTATATATGTGAAACTAAGTGTTTGTTGCTCAATCAGATGTAAACTACCTCACAAATAGATGAAATACTGTACACATATAGTTAATGACCTGGATTGGATTAATTTTTATCCTGGAAAAATGACGGGTTCCTCTGGCATTCTCAAAAAATCTAAAGTTAATGCTGACAAAGTCACGGGCGGCTGCTAGTTTGCATATATTACTCATTACAGGTCTTGATGAATTTACATTTTTAAATAAAGTGTTACTTTATATGATATAGTAATTTTAAATAAAATCATTATTCTGACGATGCAGACCTGAAAAGGCTGCGAAACGTCAATAAATAAATAAAGTTTCGTGCATTAACCCGTAAAAACTAGTTTTATTTAATGAGTGATGTGCGTGAAAACCTAAGAAACAAATATAGATTACACCTGTTAGGCAGGCAATTAATTGAGCGTCACTGGCTATGGTAATTTTTTTTTTTAAATCCTTGCTCATGCTTGGACCTCATTTTTTGTTCTATTAAAATGTCCTGAGTTAAATAGAAACAAGCTACATTTCATAATCACTAAATAGAATAATGGTTTATGGACTACTTTCATTTTAATTACAACTGGTTTATTTTAATCATTAACCCATTCTTATATGAACTTTTCATTAATATATGAAACATTTGGACTAGTTTTAGTGTTCTTCCAGCTGAAATACAATATCATCAACCCACAGGCAGTGTTCATCAGTTATTGATAGAATATGGAGTAAATGCCAAGCTGCCAAGACTTATTGATTTGACATTAAGTGAACATTGCTCTATATGGGATACTTAATGATTTGTTATATAAGTTAACATAATTTCTGTTCCATTCGAGAGCCTACATGCAATGGAATTAATATTTTGTATTATATCTTTGTGTCGCGTTTTATAAATCATGTAACTTCAGACCAAACCATCAGAGCACAATATTATACAAGTTTTAAACATTGTGCTTCATATTGTTATTAGGTAATTTTTTTTGGAGAAGCAGTTATAAGAAAATAGATACAGACTGGCCGACATGCTGAGGTGGTCTAGTAGGCTGCTAAATGATAATTAAGTGGATATTGCTGTTATTGCATTATCGGCAACTATCAGCAGCGGCGGTAACTACCGAAATTAGAAATTTGTTGATTCATGTCTTTGTCTCACTTTTCGCAAATGGCTTTGCCCGCTCACATGTTCCTTCCAAACTGCAACCCGGGACACTTTAAAATAGGCGTGAAGAAACATCTTGCAGGCCGGATGAGGAAGGCTGGTCTGACAGGTGACTAACGCTCATAATATCAACGGTCACTGCATCGACAGTTGCTGGATCGAAAACCCTCCATCGACGGGTTAATGAATCGATAGTACCTCAAATCGATGGTACGCTACATCGACAGTACACCAAATCGTAAGTACGCTGTACGGCCGGGCCGATAATACTAGTCTATGGGGCCGATATAGCGACTGTCTATGCAGGGACTGTCGAGTCGACACATATTAGGAGCTAGCCCCGTGGCAGGTAAAACTTCTGCACCAGCAGGAGCGGATTCAAAAATGGTGGGGCCCGGGGCTGAAATTCATGCGGGGCCCATTAAAGGATATGAAAATCATCTGATTCACAATTGAATAATATGCATTAAAGGGAATGTTAGCTAATAAACTTCTTTTCGGTATTTCATGGGATGCCGGTTTCACGGGAGCCCCCCCCCCCAAGTTTCTACTGTCTTCATTTCTGACTCCACTGGCACTTAACATAGTCTATGAATATGGTTTTTTATTAGGTACTTTGCTTATTCGTCTTACTGAATGGAGGCTCTTTCTTAACATTTAAATAGTAATGAAATCGATGAATAAGGTCCGTTCCGTTTCCAAACCATTGTACTTACAATATATTTATACTACAGTCTTAAAATATTTGCGTAAAACAAACAAGAGATACGTATAAGGAGATAAAGCTCGTGTAAATGGTAAGTTCATAGATCTTCAGTTATGAATAGGAAGTACCTATATAGAGGAGCTCGATGGCGCAAGTGGTAAGCGCGCTCTGCTGCGATTGTAAAAGTTAAGCAACTTTCGCAGTGGTATGTCATTGAAAGGGTGGCCTGAAATTTACTATCTCGAGCTCCTCCGTGTTTCGGAAGGCACGTTAAGCTGTTCGTCCCGGCTGCATTTGCAGTCACCCACATGGCAATTTCCCTATTCCATTCCTGATGGAAGGCCTGTACCCTAGCAGTGGGGACATTAATAGGCTGATGAAGAGATATATACACTTCCTATAACTCTCATACTTGATTAGATTCTTTATAAATATTTAACCATGTTTCGTCAAGGACTTGTGTTTAACACTAAACTTAGATTAATGTAGGTCGAATAGATTACGATCCAGATTACGAAAATGCGCATAAATGGTTTGCCTGATGGGGTTTTAAGTGGTTTTTGCTTCGGTCGGTCATGGTAGGGTGCCACGGCATTGATTAAAGAGAGATTTTATCGCCCCGTAAGAAAAATTATTTTATAGCGTAGCTGTGAAATATTTTTCAATAATTAGTGAACGCCATCAATATGCAAAGAGGAAAGTTTTATAATTACTCTGTATGTGGATCTTATCATGATAACAGTAGGTAATACAGGTTACTAATTAAAAACACGATTAATTGAATGTCTCTGCAACGACATATAAATAGAGCAGATAGGAACTATAAAATACATTATGTTGATTACCTATTTATTGGTTTTTTTGTTTGGCTATTTTCGAAACTTAATTTAAAACTGCCACAGTGACTTTATTTTTAAACGTACATAATGAGTTTTTACTACAACAAGGGGTCTATAACACAACCTCGTGGAACACCCACCACAAAACTATTATGATAATCTTAAACTATTAGATTTATGTGTGTGGGATTCTGGAACTTCAAAATCGAATCAAAGAACAATCATTGTTAATATGTAAAAAATCTTCAATGCCTTTTATCCTATGTATGAGTACGGTATCACAATATAATCGCAATATTTAGGTAGGATTGCAATTATTCTTCATACAATTTTAAGTTTTACTCACGCTAGATTTCGTGGTACAAATAATCTTCTTGTGATCTCGGAATATGCAAAGGGCTTGTTGATTCTATTCATCAATCAACTAAGATTTTTTATCAGAATAAAGTTATCTTTGTCACAGGTTCAAAATGCTAATCGAGACACGGTGACTGCAAACGAAAAATCTTTGAAGCAAGTAAAATTCGCACCAGTAGAAAATCTAAACCACAATGCCGCAAAGTCAAAGGAGATCAAAGAAGATCATCGCGAGAAGACAGTTCAAGACTTGGAAGAGAGTATACCACCAGACTTAGAGAGGTACATTAGGGTGAGTCGATAGCTTTAATGCAGCTTCTAGAGCATAAGTCTTCTATAAGAGTTATAATGTACAAAGAAGAATGGAAGATCATTCATCCAGAGATCTGTACTGAATGGTGGATACTAACGACTGCCAATGGCTTTACGAGCTTTTCACAGGGTCTAAATTTGTTAAGCTTCCTAGATATCAAACAGAATACGTCAGTCACTACACCAGTCACGATCGAAGGTTTCCAGGATTGTAACTAAGTTGAACCAGGTTTGTTTAAGAGAAAGTGCCCGTCTGTCGAAATAACCTCAACCGTACAAAACATCGCAGTTAAATAACACTACATTTTGGTGGTGTTGTGTTTCTGCTGTTAAGCAGAGTTCCAGGGCTCCGCGGGGTAGGGGATTGGGTTCAGGCCGGCAAGAAAAGGATGGCTGGAGCGGTACACCTTCTGCCGCATCATCTATCTTCGCGACTGGACTCCACATCCTCTTAACATCAGGTGGAGTGATGTAATTTTTTGAGCTTCATATAAAAACACTTATCCATGACTATAGCGAACATGTCTAGACTAACAGTTGTTCCTGATGATCTGTGCCTTGTAATAGATACCTTTTAACACGTTGGTTAGTTATTTTGTTAATTAGTCGGAGATAACAAGCTCAGTGATGATATAAGGTCATGTCAGAAGCCGCAAAAACCGATGAACGTGTATGAAAAGTGTAGGGTTTGTAGATGTTGCGCTATGTTCGTATGCACAAGCTAATAAATAGTTAACTGCAGGCGAATGCTTACAAATTGATCCTGCTTATTACTTACGTCATAATATATAAAAATCACGATGAAGCTATAGTGCCATATGTTTGTGTTCCGTAGTAATCTAGTTGCGTGGGAGACGAGATAACAGGACGTATTCTCAACGTAGGTAAACGAAGTTTTATGTAGGATGTGTTATCGAAATGCATTTTTTATATTTAATTTATGTATAGATGAAAAACAAAATTAAAAACCCAGTATTTTTGATGTGATGATGGATGATTCATTATTAATGTACATCTTTTTACTGTTTGTAAAACATTTGTGTACTGCACTGTGTATATGTTACCGGTAATCTCTATAATTCGGTATTCTATACCAAAAACGTCAAGGCAATTTATGAAATATTATTCATTTCATACTTTGCCTAGGTATTTAATACAATGCCGATTGCACAGTCGGCAGTGTCTGTAAAAGAAGGTAACGCGTCGACTTTTCTCGCTCGCGCTTAGTTTAGGTCACAATACTAACTTAATCTAACCCACTGCCTCTAATGCATTCCGTGAGAATTATAAAATCCGTCCGTAATTTTATATTCAACTGGGTAGGGGTATATTCAACTGTATTTTACACATTGCCGGTGGGCCAGCAGGTACTCTATACAATCCCTAGGAATTTTGTACATTATCTAGGCAATTTATAAAATGGAAAAAATATTGATAATATTCCATACATTGCCTAGACGTCTCAGGTAAAAACCGAAAAGTGTAGGGTAGATATTGCGCTATCTTCGTATGCACAGGCTTATAAATACATAGTTAACTCCAGGCGAATGCTTACAAATTGATTCTGGTTATCAGAGTAATTAAGACATAATATATAAAAATCACGATAAGGTTATAGTGCACATTATATAGTATACATTGCCTAGGTATTGTATAGAATACCTGCATTATACAGATTGCCGGTGATGGTTTATGGTACAGGTTTAAATCCTAAGAATTATTCAATGATCATTAACTTTCATAAAAACAAAAAACAAACTTTTTTAAAGCATCGAGAATATTTGTACCTGTCTTGCAAAGTAGCCCCCAAAGCACTTGAGCCTTAGTTAATTTGGCATTGGCAATGATAAAGTGTTCTAGCCTATTAGGTGCGGAATGATTAATTATATTCAATACCTATGTCTGCTGTCTGTACTGCATTATAATCATCCAAAGATCCAATGAGTAAACGCAAGGTCAAGTTGACGGACTTTTTTGCTAATAATGTATACGATACGATCTATACATATGTGTATTCCATGAAGTGATGTGATATGAAGTATTTTCCGAAATATTGACAAAATGCTTTGCTAAAATTTGTAAAGAAACAAAATCCTTGCCAAAGATTCTTCTTGCTATATATGCGATATTTACATTATTCAAAACATCACATACAACATTATCTCTTTGCCTTAACTAATATTTTTATCTTTTCGTCGAGCTATTTGTTTGTCATAAATATTACTCAAAATAATAAATGATTTAGCTTATTGCATTGTCTTATTGTTAAAGTAGTCGTGATCTCGAAGTCTCTACTGTAGGTACTCGGGAATTCCAGGATTTTGTTTTTCCTAGAAATATCAGCTCCTTATTTATGGAAGCTACATCCTTCATGATGGATCAAATCTTCTTCAAATACCTGAGTTGGGTTCACCTTGTGGGAAGTTGTCTAGATTGTATTTATTTTCATATTGTAGGCGATCTGTAACAAAGGAAGACGATGATTTGTTGGCACCCACACACTACACACTAGAACAAAATATTCATCCTATTTAGATGCGAATATTTTTGTTGAGCTAGTAGCTCAATGTATGGATTGTTTGAATATTTTTTTATTCTGACTCACCTTATATAGGTAAAAGATATTTCGATCCAAATACCGATGATGATACATCATTCATTCTGCTAATTTTGGTGCTATAAAATTACGTAGGTTTGTTTTGATTTTTTAGACCATTAAAACATACATTCAGACTAAAACACGTCTTTATTATATTTTTGCTGACAAAAGAGTTATTTGGGCATTTTGATTGAACATAAAAAATCGTGAATTTGCTTCAATTTGATACCTGCTTTCATGATGTTTATAAATATAACTTTGTTATAATTACGTACTGAAATCGTAATCAGATTTCTTAAATCAGTGTTGGTGGTCGGTACTATATTGTACCACTTTGAAAGGAAACATTTTTTTTCACAAAGTTATTTTTCGACGAATACAAAATATACTAGCTTTTTGTTTTCTTCTTTTTATCAAATTCATTTCTTCTTTGTAATTTTAGTTCTTACTAGCGGCCCGCCCTCGCTTCGCTTCGGTGTAGAGCTGAAGTGTAGAATACAGTTTTTGTTCTCAGGCTTGTATTATACATAATGACATTCATCTATGATTCTTCTTATACCTTCATGCAAAGTCTCAGCCCGATCGGTTTAAAATTGACAAAGTTTCATACAAACTTTCATTCCCTATTTTATCCCCTGGGGGGTAGAATTGATCAAAATCCTTTCTTAGCGGATGTCTACGTCATAACATCTACCTGCATGCCAAATTTCAGCCCGATCCGTCCAGTGGTTTGGGCTGTGCGTTGATAGATCACTATGTCAGTCAGTCAGTCACCTTTGAGTTTTATAGATATAGATAGACAGCCGAGTACAGTATGTTAAGATTGCTTTAATAACTTTTAGTATAATGAGGTTTCAAAAATATTTTTCCTTTGTTGTAGTGCGGGCTTAAGGTAGCAGGAGTTCAGCGAAGCGTAGGAGGTCTTACAACCAATTTGCACCATGTTTCAGAGTTTACATACACGCCGCGACGACGACACGTTTTGTGACAAAAGGGGTCGGTCGTCGAAATCAGTTCACTTGAAAACGGTTCAAGATGTAATTCTTTGCACAGACGTTACTAGGATCTCAGCGAAGTGCAGGAGATTAGCTATGAGCCGCTATACTACTTCATTATGCTCTGATATTGAAGTAAGTGTTGGTTACCGTGATTAGCCTTGTGTTGCCGTGTGTTGTCTGTCGCATCGCAGTAGTTTTTTTTGGATGAGTGTTTATGCATTGGAGGTGAGTCGTTTATAAGCATGACGGGTCATATTCTTTTGTTTAGATGACAAATCAGAGCAATTATAATACGATCAAAATAATTTTTATGAGCGATACCTACCAATAATGAGATGAAAAACTGAATATTTTTAGGGTCACTTTAATACAATTATCGGAAAAGATAAAGTTTTATGTGGTGATTGATAATAATAATTAAATAATAAATAATGTTAAAAAAACAGTAGACTATGGTAACACCGTCTTCTAAGAGTACGATTATTCTAACTTTGGAAAATTTTACTTTGGAACAGTTACTCAATCTTAACAAATTATTTGTCCTATAAAACAAAGGTGGTTCCCCGTCGAGAATTTAATAAGGTATGCTAGCCACCCTTTTCATAAAAACTTATTCTAGGTATCTCTACCAATTTCCATCAGATTGTAGGTTTTGCTTATTAAATTTTCTTTGTGTTGTTGTTCATTAATAGTTATGTCCTTGTATACAACAATGACGATCGCTATATATATAGGTATATAATATAATACTTACTATTAAATTCCGTCATGATTTTCTTGCTTGAAAGGGCGCGGTGAATAGATGTGCTAGAGTGACGAGACAAATGCTTGTTGAACGAAAATAAAAAAATAGTACATAAATGAAAATGCTTAGCTCCTAATTAACCTTTAATATCCTAAAAAAATTAAGAACTAGTAACAGCTATCGTCCCTTATTCCGGCGTGATTTTTGTACTTGGAGCATGTTTTTGTAGGCGATCTTTTCATTCCCTAGGGAACTTAATAGGAATATATACCGTATCCAAAATGGTTTTCGGTTTTGGGAGTCGTTCCGGAGTCGAATTATAAGAATTTTGGAGTATAAGTGGTAAAGAGTTAAATCTTTCATTTTATAAGAAATAGTCTATGTTTGTTGTTTTCGAGTAAGTAAACGTGTCACACATTGTATAAAACACGCTCAAAAATTGAATGTAACACAAAAAAGGTACGGACCAAGAGTCTGTAGACTGTAAGAAATAATAATAAAAATATGTATATAAAAAGAATACACTCATTATTATCTCCAAATATGGCAAATAAATAAATATTGAACACATCATATATGTACCGGTTGGAGCATCAAGATTTAGATTCATAAAGATATTTTGGTCCAAATTCCTTATT